CTGACTTCTTTATATTTTAAACTAATTAGTTAACAAATCTCCATTATAACCAATGATTTTAAATCACTGTGTTGTTTTCAGTTTAATTACAAGTATTAAGACCTTGACTATTATTCTTTTGGTGAACACATATCCTTCAGCAAATAGATTTCGTAAGTCAAATAATTTTCTTCCCAGCAATCAAGTAGTTCAGAAGTATTATTTGATTCTGGTGAGAATTTATTGTTGAATTATGACCAAATAACTTTACCCCAAGTTTTGATACCATGAATAATATTAATTAAATCAATTCAATTCATGTAAGTTTTTTTAGTTTTTTATTTCCGTTAAATGTTCGATTAGTGACACAAAAGCTAAAAACCAATTAGCGCTAAAAATAATGGTTATATTAGAAGCACTGAAAATAGTGGCATAGAAGTTGGAGATTTATTAGTAAGCGAAGGTACGATATATAAGAGAACGATAAATGATTGGTAAAACTAATTCAAATATTTAAATTAGAAAATTATAAGAAATTTTTAATTATTAAGTCACTTACATAAAAAAAAAAACTACTGAAAATAGTTTATACTTTTAACGTCTTTTTAGTTTTTTTTACTAATTTCACTGACTCAAAATGATGGTAATACTCTGTTACTTTTTAGTTGTATGTAACTATGTATAGTCTGTTACTTTTAAGTAACAGTTATATTAATTTTTACCATTTACTGATATATATATATATATATATATATATATATATATATATGATTGTAACGTTAATTAACCAAAGTAGAAAAAAAAAACAGATGTACGAACGTAACACAAAGGGATCTTGAGTTGAGTGGAGGAAAGTGGAGGACAAACATGAGTAAGATGTTGATATAAAATAAAAAATGGTAACCAAAGTAATTATGATTATATTCTTTGATAAAACCCCAATATTATGAGGGATTAATGGATTATCAATCAAATCCGCCCCACCATAAACGTTTCATCCATATATAATCTTGATTTATGACATCAAACACTTGTGATCATCTCCCAATCAGTTATGTCGAGTTCATGTCTCTTAAATGATCAACACTTTGTGATAATGAAAAGATCCCAAAGTCAACAATTTGTATTTCTTTGGAAACATTAATAAGATCCAAATTCATTTACTTGTCCTAAATTACTCTTCAATGATGGTAAACTTTCCACAGATATCCAACACATGTACTATATAACTCAATGTCTGCAGTTTCTAACATTTAGACATGTAAAATCAGTGGGTAAGCAATTTCTATCTTAACGAAAATAACAAATTTAGAATTTAAGAAATTTTAAAATTGTAGTGCACACTTGCTCTTTCATATTCGACTTGGATGCCAATAATAAACAGCCGCATCAAAAAGTTGATTGTTGCATTCACATATTCACTAATTTAAAAGTTGATTAGTACTGTATCTGAATATTCTTTTGTTAACAATTTAAACATATCATATTGATTTTTTCTTTCTTTGTATTTACTGCCACCTAGCCTCTAAAAGAAAATGAAAGCTTGGTGACCGCAACAAATGGCGTGATTCAGTGTCAGTGTCGTGTTTTTTTTGGGGGCATCCGTGATGTCTAGTATTTATCAAGAGTTTCAATGAAAGATTCATTTTATACGTATAATATTTATCTGTTTTTAAGAATTATTATTGGTTATCTTCTTCCAATTATCAATTGTTTTATAACTGGAGAAGTCAATATTTGAACAGTTGGAAATTGAAAAACTTTAAAGGATTCAACGGACATAATGCAACCATAAATGCAAAAAGATAAGGTGGCAATTTATATATACTCCCTCCTTTTTAAAGAGTATAGTTTTAAGGTTTTTTTTTTTTTTTTTACAAAGAGTGTCATTTTGTATTTTCAATACATAATTTTAGTAAAAATCCAATTTTAACCTTATTTCTTTAATGTATTAATAAGAGAAATAATTTTGTTTACTGTATTGATAAGGAGTATAATAGAAATTTTAATAGTTTTCTTAGTCAATATCTGAACAGTTGGATATTGAAAAACTTTAAAGGATTCAACGGACATAATGAGCTTAGAAAGATAAGATTGCTACTTCAAAAGATAGGTAATTGATATAGGAACTAAACAATATAATCATTGTGTCAAATATATGAAAATGGGAAGAGATTGGTGAATAGAAGATTCAAATATTCATATTAATTATTTTAAAATTAAATATATAGTTTTTTTTTGTTAAAGTAGATTAAATAAACAGTATATCTATAGCTTCTTTTCTTTTATTTATTTTGCAATAAATGGACTAGCTGGAGAGGTTCGGTGATGTCGTTGGCCTACCTTATTTTATTCATCAATATTTTGTTTGCTTTCATTTTCAAAGCCCACGAGAAGATTATGGTTTTGGAATCTCTTAGTGTAATTGTTACAACTGCTACTCACTCATGCTTTGATCCGAATAAGTATGACCTTTTTGGCCAATTATTTCAAATATTTTTATAAGTTTAAATGGGTTAATTAAAGATGCTAATTTTTCAATCATTTTTTAGCCATTCATAATATACTCCTTATATTGTCATCCACCAGATTCTCATCTTTTTTCTTTTCTTTTTTAATAACCAGAGTCTCATCTTGACTTGACAAATATATCTTCCCTTCATTTCTTTTTAGTATTTTATAAAGATGATGATCTATAAATCTTACGAGGTTTATACTGAATCTAGATAAATTAAACTAATATGTCTTGTAAGTAAAATAAACGAACAAAAAGCTGAACTAATCTATCCAAACCGAGGAAACAAAATCTATCAGAAAACTAAAATGAGTTGGTAAACCGTAATGAATTTTTAAAGAAGTCTAAAGATAGTTGATTATATTTTACAAGTGATAACTAGTTTTCGCGAAAAAAAGTGCAAGTAATATACATTTTTTTAAAGGTTAAAGTAGTGGTATACATTATACATAGTTTCGTGGTTTGGTCATATACTAAAGATCCAAATATGTATTACATTTTGGTTTAATTCACTGTATAAGAACATCAAAGAATAATGTATATGTGATCGATGATTCTCAAACAAACATCCTGAGAAAAAACATCAGAATCTTGGTAATTAGGTGAAACTTAAGAGAGACAATTCTGATAGTACAAGAAGTTTGACAATATGGTACATGAAGATGTCTTAGTGCTTTATTAATTTATATATTATTCATCAGACGAAACGATAAAACTGGTTACGATCTTTTGTTTTTAGTAAAGTGATTGATTAGTTATTTATAAATCTTATTTTTTCATACTATATATGTACTACTATAAATTATATGCATGTGCCATGATATGGGTGCATTATTCTCACATATAGAATAATAACAATATTATTAATTTGATATATAAAAGTTAAAAACACTTTAAATTGTTCGGGGATGGTATATATTACAAACGAATGAAGAAAACATACACCTACTTCCAACTAAAATTGGCTTTACCGTGACTGAAGCTCACATTTTTGCAATATAAAAGACAAAACCCTATATTAATATTGACTTTAAGAATGCTATTTTTTAATTTAGAAAAAATGTAGCGAAAAACATTCAAATTGACAAATGGATTATGAATGTGTGGTGGGAAGGAAAGTGCAAAGTGGGGTTATAATTGCTTAATTGGCTTCAATGAAAGATGATTTCCTTTAGTTCACTATTTAGTTTGACAGTCATATTGGGCTTTGACTGGATTCTAGTTATAAACTACGCCCCACATTAATAAACCACAGTGGGCTTTAATTGTCATATATCCTAATCCCACTAGTCGCGTCACCATTAATAAGAGAAAATAAGAGTAAAGCTTCTATTTTCTTCAAACATTCCAGAATAAAAAGACTAAAATATCCGCTTCGTGCCCAGGCATAGTGTCAGGGAGGGAAGGTGACAACAATGGCTTCCCAACCCGAACACTAAAACTGATGCTCCAATGGAAGAATCTGAGGAAAATGAAGATGAGGACTACTATTCTGAATTTCTGATTCCACTTTGGAAATACAATCAGAGCCGGTCCAACGTTATCGAAGACCCTCCTCAAATTATTTTTTTGTCATCTTTTTTGACTGTTATAAACGAAAATAACATAGGAAATTCAATGGTAACGACAAAAGAAAAATGTTAATCATCAAAACAAAACTAAAAATAAACTTTTGGATCCAAATCTCATCATTTTAACAACATTTTGGGTCGTAATCTTCGGCTTATGCTCTGGGCCGACCATGAGTGGAACAACTGTCTCTTTGGGCTAAGAAAACGACTCTTATGGAGAAAGCCAATGACTTGATGGACACGTCTCAGGTGGCCGTCGAGCAAAGTTGGAACAGATTTGCTTTTAGTCTAATTTATGGTATTGAAACATCAAACATGATATAGTTTTACTCTTTTACTGTTTTAGCTATGTTACTTCTAGCACTATATATATAGGCTTCTTCAGGCTTTAGGGCTGGTAGTAGCGTTTTCATGTTTTTTTGAATAGCTTTCTTGAGCTACAAGTCAATTAGACTGGGTTTATAAATTTCTAATCTTAATCATTTATATTAAAAAGTATATGAAAATTCACGTATTAGACTATTGCGCAAGTTCATGCAGCGTTACTAATTTTCTGATGTAGTGTATGTTAAAAGTATTTTCGTATTATTATTTTGGTTGTTTGTTATTCATTATTTCATGCAACCAAATACTATTGAACTTGTTTAATACAAAATGAGAAAAAGAAAATTAATTTTGCAATTGAAGATAATGTATTGTTATCAAATAAAAACATTACAAGTTATTCATTCAAAAAATAAAAAATTACAAGTTGTAACTTACTTGGTGAATCACCAATGGTGATATATACTTTATAGTACTTTTTATTTAAAATAAATCATGTAATATGAGACATATACAAATTAATAATGATCACGAATCCGGTAATTAATTTGACTTACAAATGAATATATATATATATATATGCACTTCGGATTAAACCCATATCTTTGAATCTAGGGATTGGCCTTTTGTTTGAGACATAATCTAGGATACTTTGGACTACATCCCCATGCATGATCTTGTTTGAGAGCTTCGTAGCTTATCACATCTTCTGCATTGGTCTTGAGTGTTGCAAATGTGAAGAATACCATTATAAGAGCCACATATATTATAATAGCCTTCATTAATTTCGTAGACATACCCATATCTTTTTCTTTCTTTTTTCTATTGAATTAAGGAAAAAGAACTGGAATTTATCTTTAGAGAAAGATTGGATTATTGTTTTGTTTTGTGAGAAACATGAAGGGATTATTGAAGCTTTAAATTATATAGGAGATGAAAGACAATATTGTTAAGGTTCTTTCTTTTTTTGGCATGTAGATTTGGTGTATACTCGATGACAAAAAAAAAAAAGATTTGGTGTATACTCCTGATTAATATTCATATTGTTATTTTACTGGTTTTCCCCAGTAAAGTCATTAGAATTAGTTTCACGTCTTAAGTAATAGTTTTAGAACTTTTTAATCATTGCAACAAACTACTCTATGAACAGTTAGAGGAAACTGAATTACTTTTGATTAAAATTAAAAGAGATTCGAATCCAAAAGTTTGTTTTGTTACTTTTAACCAAAGTAATTAAAAATAACTAACAACTGAATTAATTACGTTAAAATTAGTTACAATAGAGAAGAATTATGGTTGTATTTTTTATATTTACATCTCTATGCATACTATTATTAAATTCACGAGTTAGGCTACTGCTCAAGTTCATGCAGCGTTCCTAATTTGATGTAGGTTTTTTTTTTTTTTTTTTTGATGTAGTTTGTTGTCTCTTTTCTGATTTAATGTATGTCAAAATTGAAAATCAACGCGTAATTTTTCATTTGATTATTTGATTCAAATATGACCTCAATTAGTTATTAATATTTGTATGAAATACGAAACCTAGAAGGCTAGAAGATGCGTAATGAAGCCAGCTCTGATCTCGACTATTAGTGGAATCGAACTACTTTGTATGATTTAAAAAAAAAAAATCTTTTGGCCGTTACTCAAATTTGTCTGCATGATAGCAATAATTGGTCTGGCAATATTACAAATAACGTTTCAATTTTAGACACTCTATAACCAAATTACTTCCAAGGACCAAAGCTATAGGCCTGAAATATACATGTGCAGCTTGGTATAGTCTTACTATCTCTTTAAGATCACTATATAAGTATATTATATATATATATATATATATATATATATATATATATATATCATAATCACATTAATTAATCAGATTTTAATGGTAAAGTGTCATTTCAAGGTTTCTGTTTTATGTTTTCTAAAGATGAAAACGTGTTGATACGCACATGCTTTTTTAACTTAAATCCGCAATGCATCAACAAAACGTCACTCAAGTCGTGCGTACCATTAAATTACTTTACGTACCAACCATTCGATAATGCTTCTATCTCTTTTATTTGCTAAAAACACTATATTTATAATAATATATGGATATGAACCCATGCTTTTTATTCTTTAAACTATTTTGTTATATTGTTTCCCAAAAATAACCGTTTGTTCTCTCCCAATCGACTTCAAAGCGACTTTTCAATTCTAATTGTCTCCGGCCGGCGTCGGCTTCTCCGGCGTCGGTCGGCCTTTCCTCTCTTTTATCTTTTGCTTCCTCCGTTTTGTTCTTTCTGCATAGATCTAGATAATAATAAATGGCAAATCGAGATTTCAAAATCCATGCTCTTTGCCTTCTCACAATGTTGTTACAAAATCTGAGGCCGTCAATCTCAAACTTGTCTCCAATCTTGACTTGGGTATCGTTTTATAATATCCAGATTTCATCGCCATGTGTGGGAGATGTGGTTTCGGGAATAGATGGTGTCTCGGATCGTGTCCATTGCGACCAAGTTACTCTTCAAAGTCGCGCCTCTTTTCTCTCCTTCCGTGAGAGCGTATCTCCGACCCTATCATGGCCTCAACTCAAGTGTTATGGTGTCGGCTTCTTTCCGGCTTCGAACGGTGTCCATCGTTTCTTCACTGGAACGTCTCTGTTCCACAATAATAGAATCTGGGTTTCTCATATGAATCCCTCCAATTCAGGAATTGGGAATCTATTTCGGACATGGGATCCTGGAGTAATTGATTGTGACTCTACTGTTTGTGTGATGAAACAACAGATGCATCAATTTGATCATAATTGGATTCAGTTACTAAAGTCCATTATAGACAAAGTCAAGTTTTGGCAACATGATTTGATTAATATTGGTTGGATTCGGTGGTTATGGAATGCATCAGCGAGACATACAGTGGAATATATGCACAAGATGCATATGGGCAATTGTGTTAATGGACGGATACGACATGATTCCATGTTCATTAGAAGACATAAATCAGGTTTTATCAACAAAACTCTTTTTGTGGAGATTCATGGCGAGAGAGTGACGAGAAGGAAGACGGCGGCGGGTGCAAGACTAAATTTCACACGACTACATGAACGCTTTCAGAATCCTCCTGCCCATCGCTTCAATTGCCTCAATGATGATGACGTTGATTGTGTCGTGGGATCAAACGCATCACTTGTTGTTTCTTCAACAGAAGTGACCGTGAACATGTTGTTGTGTCAAGGCCTATGTTTCTTTCGGGTAAGAGTTAGGGATTTTTTGGAATCTGGTAAGGCAATCTTTTCAAAGGATGTTATAGTCGAACCTACTTCGACTACACTAAACTTATTTGTGATTATGTTAAAGAAAATTACAAAGTCGAGTTTTTTAAGAAAGACTTTGGTACGGAAGCTTTGGTACCACCGTGTCTACATTTCAGAGTTATTTATGGACACATCGGGTTTAAAGCTACGGTTTGCAAAAAGAAAGTTCAACCACAAGTTGCTGCATGCCAATCGTAACCAAGAAAAATCAAATATGAAGTTGGACAATAACGGATCTTATGGTTGGTTAGCGAGTGAGACTAATCTTCGGAAAACATCGTCAATCCTCCTTCTGCTGTATTTTTCTTAATGTATGGCACATACATCTGCGTATGTAATAATTGTGTTCTAGTAATTTTGTTAGTGTCTTTGTAATAACTTTTTAAAATCAATGAAAGTTTGTTTTTGCCGGAAAAAATAAAAAATAAAAAAAAATGAACCCATGCTTTTTAGTCAATTAGATTTTAATTTTTGGAAATGTAAGGATTTGTCAAGTATTCATTAATTTAGTTCTGATGTAATCTTCGGTTCAAATTGTATTATGGGGTTAAAGTTAAGAATAGTTTACTAAATCAAAGCACTTAAAAAGAAGTAAAGAAATCAGAGAAAGTTTTAGGCCTGGGCATTCGGTTTATTCGGTTTAATCGGTTCGGTTTTTTCGGTTTTTCGGTTTTTTCGGTTATCTAAAATTCTGCCGAATTGAACCGAATAAAAGTTCGGTTCGGTTCGGTTCGGAACTCGGTTTATTCGGTTCGGTTACTAGATTTTAAATCAGATCCGAAATAAACCGAAATTATTTTTTTCTCGGTTAATTCGGTTAACCGAAAATTTTCTTAGCAAAAAATCAGCTTTTCCATGGGAAAATATCTGACCTAAAAACCCAGAAGAAGCTGAGTCAAACCATTTGAAAACAAAAAGGAGAAGAAAAGATAGGGGGATTCGAAGTGAGATTGATAATAGAGAAATTGAAAGAAGAAATGTGAGAATAATATTATTACAATAGGCTATAAAAAAAGAACTAAGAAATGATACAATCAAAGCAAGACTAACGAGCGTTGCAAGAAGAATCGATTGAGGAATTTCTGTAAAATTTTCGCTAGGAGGAAGAGGAGAAACGGCTGCCAATGGAAAATATTGATTAGATCTAGGGTTTCTATTTTATATAAAGGAATGTATAATAAATATTGGGCCAAATTAAAAAAAAACTATTGGGCTTATGGCCTACTGAAATTGATTATATATCCAATTAAAAATGTTTTGATTTTTGGGCCAACGACCATAACCCAAATATAAATAAAAAAATCCAATTCAAGCCCAAAAACATTAAAATTAATTAGGGTTTAATTTGTACAGTCAACGCGGCGGCTGAGTCTTCTTCTTCCTCTTACACACACAGAGATGCAGACGTGAAGAAGAAGATGGAGTGATGAGAACAAAACCGAATAACTGTTCGGTTTCAGCTCGCCGAACCGTACCGAACCGTTACCCGAATTCCCCAAATTATTTTGCCGATCGGTTCACTCCCCTTCAGAGAATTGGTGCCGAAAACCGAAAATTTCGGTTTGTTCGGTTCGGTTTTCTCGGTTTTTGCCGAATGCCCAGGCCTAGAAAGTTTTGACTCCTTTATTCTTAACCAATCAAAATGAAAATTTTGACGCCAAAAAAAAAAATCCTGAAAATTATCTTCTAGCTAGATTCCACCATATGTAAATAATAACATTCACTGTATACATCATATTGTTTTCTTAAAACTCTTTATAGTTCTTTGTAAATGAAGCATTATATGTAATTTCTGTCGTATAAGTAAATAAAATAAATACACTCAAGAAAGTATAAATATGAGCTTAGCAAAGCATTGTCTCTTTCTCTCTCACACACAGATTGAGGAAAAAATAATCAAAAATATGTTTTTTCAAAAACTCAAACTTCGTACCTCCAAGAACTCCCATAAAATATCTCCAGCCACGGTGTCTAAATCTCCGGCCACCGTCTCAAAATCATCGGAGAAAAGATTGAGGAAAGAATTCCAAGAGGAAGATCACATCCTGAAGGCCCATGTGAGAGCGTCGTTGCCTTCGCCGGAAAATATTTCCCGGTGGGAAGCTACCGTTAACGGCCCGGTGGGTTGCCCTTACGAAAACGGAGTCTTCACCGTCTCCGTTCACATCCCACCCAAATATCCTTTTCAACCACCCAAAATCACATTCAAGACAAAGGTAACCAAAATTAGAAATCCGGTTTATTAATCTTTCCGAAATGTTTGGTTTCCGGTTTATAATTTTGTGTTTTTTTCTCTAATCCAGATCTTTCATCCTAATATAAGCGAAAGTGGAGAAATCTTTGTTGATATATTAGGATCACGATGGTCTTCGGCGTTGACCATCAATCTTGTACTGCTTTCTGTATGTTCGATTTTATCGAACCCGGTTGAACCGTTTTTGGTTAGCAATTATGCCGGGAGACTGTACCGGAAAGACCGGAAAGCTTACGAGAAAGTTGCGCGAGAATGGACTCTGAAATATGCAAAGGGATGATTGATTAGTTCTTTTATTTTATATATTTGTTTATGTCTATTGCGATTATATAATTATAGACTATATAACTATAATTATAGCTTTATATAGCTATAGACTTCTGTTTTGTTTCGTCAGTTTAGTGTCGTGTAATACCGAGAGATTGGATACTATAGTTAAGTGTATTTGTATAGCAGCTGCTAAACCTTGTTGAAAATTGAATATTAATCGAAATTTTTTAAGAAATATGAGTTTCTTTTTCGTCGAACATAAACGTGTTTGAACTACTTTAAGAGAAGTTTCGATAAAAGAAACATTGAAAATAATTTCTTGGTCGTGTAACAAATACAACATTACAAGTTGTAACTCGGTGATACTTTTTACTTTATATTAATAATAATAAAAGTCATGTATATATGACACATACATATACAAATTAATGATCACATATAAACACCATAAATTTAGGTAAAAAAATGATGGTACGATATAATAAACATTCGAAAAATGACATTATAAACGAAACAGAAACAGAAAGAAAAATATTGCACTTCGGATGAGACTCACGACTTTATGAATCTAGGGATTGGCCTTTTGTTTGAGACAAGATAATCTAGGATACTTTGGACTACATCCCCATGCATGATCTTGTTTGAGAGCTTCGTAGCTTATCACATCTTCCGCATTGGTCTTGAGTGTTGCAAATGTGAAGAACACCATAATAAGAGCCATATATATAATAATAGCTTTTATTAATTTCTTAGACATACCCATATCTTTTTCTTTCTTTTTTTGAATGAACTAAGGAAAAAAGCTCGAATTTATCTATAGAAAGATTAGATTTGTTGTTTTGTTTTGTGAGAAACATTAAGGGACTATTAAAGCTTTAAATAATATTGGAGATGGGAGAAAATATATTGTTATGTTTCTTTCTTTTTTTGGCATGTAGATTTGGTGTATCCATCTAAAATATTGATATTGTTATTTTTCTATTTTACTCCTAAAGTGATTAGAATTTAGTTTCACGTCTTAAGAGATTTTGTTAACATTGCAAGTTTGCAACAATATACTGGATGACAGTTAAAGAAAACTGAATCACTTTAACCAAACAAAAAGACAGAATTATATTTTTGTTTTTCTGAATGGTACAAAAACAATAAGCTACAAATTACAGGCAAATCATGTTTTGATTAGTCTTCTTAACTCTTTCAATTAGTTGGTTTCTTCTTCGTAAATATGAAATGAATATTGGTCGATGGATTTACGGTCACCCCTGAAATATCAGTATGCAGCTTGGTATCAAGGAATCAACAAAAAGTTTCTTTTTAAGGTAAGATATCTTAAGATAAAGATATCTTAATCAACAAATATTCAATTCCATCTTGAAAACGAAATTGTGTAGAAATATGGTTTCACACCATTTCTTTTTGCATTTACGTTTGTATATGCATTAGTATTTTTTTTTACAGATATATACTGAATTCATATATAAATTGTACCGTACGTAAATGCCAAACGAAAATAGAAGAGAAACCTTACGTTTGAGTTTGAACTTTGAAGTTTGTGTTTGTGATGATTTTGATCTTTTACAAGAAAATGAAAATATTCCTTTTCACGAACTACAATAGTGCTTTATTCAGAAATGTGAATTTCTCTCTCGCATATAAACGCAAATACAGATATTTGACACGAATACATTTCCATTATTGTTATTAAATGTATTCAAATATTTGTTCAAAAAGTCTATTCGGGGACATCTGATAAAATTGGAACGATACAGAGAAGATTAGCATGGCCCTTGCGCAAGGATGACACGCATAAATCGAGAAATGATCCAAAAAAAAAAAAAAAAAGTATTCCAATAAAAATATTTGAATACATTTCCATAAACGTTATTCAATACTATTTCAATAACTTGCCTCACTTATGCGGCTTATGCCAAGTATCAGAATTCAATAACTTGCAAGAAATCTGGAAGTCATGCCACAACAAGCCTCTAGGCCCTCTACTATAAAAGCCCTCAAAAGCTCCCCAAGTTTCTTACACAACAAAATGAATAAGCTAATCTTCCTTCTTCTCCTCTCTCTCGTCCTTCTCCCTCTTCACGTATTTGTGGCGGCGCTCGGCAGCTGGAGTCCCATCAGCGACGTTAAGGATCCTCACATCGTAAAGATAGGCGAATTCGCGGTCTCTGAGTATAACAAACAGAGCAAATCGGGATTGAAGTTTGTAACAGTTGTTCGCGGTGAGTCTCAGATAGTCTCTGGTGTGAATTACCGGCTTGTGGTGGTGTCTAATGATGGCACCGACCCGAGCAAAAACTACGAGGCGATTGTACTGGAGAAGCCGTGGCTGAAATCAATGAATCTCACTTCCTTCAAGCCAGCCACTATTAATGGTCGCTTCCTATGATGAGTTTACATGTAGTATATCTTTTAAATAATATAGCAAAAAAAGTTAAAATAAACAAAGGAAATGTTCATTTCTGTATTATCTGGTTTTCTGATTTCATGTATGGGCAAATGATCTGAAGAAATTGATATTAAACAAGTTTTGACATCTGCTACTTTTTATTTTTAAACAACATGCATTATTTGGACATGAACCCATATGGTGACACTATAACGATACTAACACAAACTGATAGATTACATGTGCTGGTCTACATCTCCTAGCTATGTTTGGATAATCTTCTATGTAGATTATGGGACACAAGATTGTATTGAGATGTATCACTAAATATATATATATATCTCCCTTTTGAAGTATAACATGTTTTAGCAGAAGTGTAAAAATTAAAAGTTTAATTATGATTTCTCCCTTCTTTATACAACTTTATTTTAACTGCAAGCCTGCAACGATAATTTATTCAAAACATAAATGTTCATATATATTCATATATTGAAAAAAAAATTACACATACACGGTATTAGTTTTCCTACTTATAACATAACAGCTAGATTATGATTATCACTTTCCCAACAAATAACTTAAGTAGTTTGTGCTAATAATGTCTTTGATATATCAACATTCAAATTTAAATCAGTATGATACATGTTGTTAACAAAAAAAACTGTAAACACATAATTGTGTATATATGACCATATAAATATAGATTGATTGATTGATCATTTTCATCAATGATCAGAATGTCTGTTTTACAGAAATGTAAAAGTAAAATAGTAAAATTACAATTTTATTATCATATAAATTGCATTTTATCTATGAAAGGATAAAATATGAATAATATTTGATTATAAAATAAAACAAAGATATATTAATCCATATAAAAGAATACATTTTCCGCCCTCTTGTTCTCCGTAATACGTTTTGTTGATTTCTTTTTAGAGATTTTTGATATATATATATATTACTCCGAATGGTCATGTTTTCATATCTCTAAAATTCCAACCACCTATGATGAAGCTTCACTGTTTTTTGGGTTTGGCTTCGTATATGGATTTGCCCTAGTTTTCTCACAAAACTGAGGATATTTTTGAGAACATCCCCATGCATGATTCACACGCATAGAATCATATGATATAACTTGCTCCATTTTGATTGTATTCGCCTCAAAAACAAAAATAATTAGTAGAGCGAGATATAAAACCGATATTTTCTTCAACATCGCCATATTCTGAAAAAGAATAAAGTAAATTAAATGGGTTTTCACTTACTTTTGATTGTTTATTACTTTCTTATAGATTTCTAATTTCTAATTTTGCGTTGATGCTTTATTTAAATAGTTGGTTGCGTTTGCTAAATAAAGTTAATTGTTTTGGAGGGTTCCTTAGTTATGCAATTCCAACAAGACTTTGTTTCACAAATGTAATTATTGTTATGTTATTAGTTGAAACAGTACATATTTAAGATCGATGTTAGTTAATAACAACAAAATGTCGACCCAAAATAAAATAAAATAAATATGTTATAGTTAGTTTTTTTTTTTTTTCACAATAGACTTACATATATATATATATATACATATAAATCCTTTTCGTTTTGTATAGTGTAAAAATATATGTATTAACTCAAGTTTTTATTTTTCCTGATTTTATCTACTCAAGTTTTACTTCACTTCCTGCTTACTTTTATTTTATTTTGATAATTATAAATAGTATATGGTCTACTTCTATAATTAAGTTACAAATGTCTATATTCCCATTTGGACCCTATATTGGTAGATTTGTTTCAAAATTTTATTCTATTTTACTTTTAATTTAATTTTTTTTTTTTTTTTTTTTTGTGTATCTATTTCCCTTTACCCTTGTGAATTGGGCTCTCTTCGTCTCCCTCTCTCTTTGTCCGAGTAAGATACTGAATATAAATACTCACTCTCGACTCTGTGACCCTTGGCAAAACAAAAAAGAACGAACTTTGAGAGAAGCCCTTTTGTGCTCTCTTTTACAAATCCCTAGATTAGGTTAGTCTCTAATCTCTTGTACATCGTTTCGTCTTCCATCCTTGTCACGTTTAATATTCTTCTCTCTGAACCTCTTTGATTCTTCTCCTTTGTGGGTAAACTATCTGGATTCTGCTTTTTTTTAAGCTCTGGACTAGCATCAGCTTTAGTTCAAAAAGCATCTGTTTTTGCGTTTAAGGTTTACTTGACTACTAGTATTTAGTGTTTCGATTTGACTTAGATAAAAAAAAATCTCAACTTTTAGTTGTTTAGGCCCCTGGATGATTTTGTAACTCTGAATTTAGGGTCTTTGTTGGATATTTCTTACATACGAAGCAAATTTTGTGTATTTTTCGTAAAAGCTGGTACCTTTTTGCAATGTGTGCGTTTTAAGAATCCTGGGTTTTGTTAGATTTTCATTGATGTACAAGTTGATTCTTACTTTCATCATTTCCTACTACTTATTTTGTATACTTGAATGTGAATAAGTTCCTTTTTTGTCTATATCTGTGTTCTGGTTGGAAAGTTCCGATTTTTATCTGTTGGATGTTTATCTCTCTGTTTGCTTCGTCTAATGCTTTATTTGCTAAGCTGTGATTTGAGTTTTTCGGATGAAGCTAATATCTTTCTGTATAATGGTTTTTACGCAGTCTCCTTTGTCTGGCTTTGAAGTTTTGATAGATTTCTGATTAGTAACGAATGGGAAAGAGATTAAAGAAGGGTCAAAAGCCTCCATATCTGTGGTTGCCTCCAACGGTCTCTAAGAAGGTAACTAAGCAATCTGAGCACAGCGTGGAGGTAACTGAGGAGGTTGTGACAGTGCCGGAAAAAAGATCTTGTGTCCATTTTGATAAATTTGTTGATTTGGATAAGCTGTTGAAAAAGATTAAATCCTCTCAACAAATCAAGTGTGGAGAATGCAAGGAAGGAGTGCACGTGAAGAGAGGAAGTAAAGCGAGTATTAGTAGCGGGATATACTGGTTTTCTTCTTCTGACCAGAAGTGTGCTAAAAAGGCTATTTGGGTTTGTTTGGAATGTGGCTATTATGTTTGTGGAGATGTTGGTTTACCGACTGGGGCTCAGAGTCATGTTATGCGGCACTTCAGGTTGACGCGTCACCGTTTGGTGATTCAATGTGAAAATCCTCAGTTAAGATGGTGTTTCTCATGCCAATCACTTGTCCCTTTTGAAAAAGAAGAGAATGGTGAGAAGAAAGATTTGTTGCTGGAAGTCGTGAAATTGATTAGAGAACGATCTCCAAACACGTTCTCCGCTTCATTTGAAACTGAATATTCATGTTCAGGAAGTGGTAATATCACTGGTGGTAGTTTCACTGGTGGTATAGAAGCAAGAGATGGTTATGCTGTAAGAGGTTTAGTTAACCTTGGGAACACATGTTTCTTTAATTCTGTAATGCAGAGCCTTCTCTCTTTGGATCAATTACGTGAGCACTTCTTGAAAGATGATCTATCTGTTAGCGGGCCTCTCGTTTCTTCCCTGAAGAAATTATTTGCTGAATCAAAATCAGAGGCAGGCTTTTTTAGGAGTGCGATAAATCCAAGAGCCCTTTTCGTTTCTGTCTGTTCTCAGGCTCCTCAATTTAGGGGATATCAGCAGCATGACAGTCATGAGTTGCTTAGATGTTTGTTGGATGGTCTGAGCATTGAAGAATCGAGCCTGAGGAAGAAGCTTGGTGTTTTTGATAGTAATGACAGTTCTACATATCAGAAACCTACTCTCATAGATTCTGTATTTGGAGGTGAAATTTCGAGCACTGTTTCTTGTTTGGCATGCGGGCATTTCTCAAAAGTGTATGAACCCTTTTTGGATCTCTCTTTACCTATTCCGTCCAAGAAACTTCCTCCTAAAAAGCAACGAATCGTTTCTCTGGCAAAGGAGGTCCTTAAGAATGGGGCAGTCGGCAAAGATTCAGAAGTTGGGTCAGCTAAACCTGCATCGGATCACAATTTCACTGTTTCCAACCCTTCTGCTATGGCCCTTATTGATAAGCAGGTCTCTGATATCACAACAGAATCTGATACCGAACAATACGAACTTGATAAATTTTGGTCGGATTTGGACTTGCTAGGTGATGTTAGTGATACCGCCCCATCAACCAAGGCTAAAGGAGTTAATCAGACTTTGGTAGGTAGCACAGAAACGCTGATGCATGATAATGATGTAACTGCAAAACCAGAAACTGTACCAGATAAAGAAGAATCACGAGCTACGCAATCTAATGAAGACACATCTGCAAGTGGGATTTCCGCAGTGATAGATGAGGCTCAAGTTTTCCGTTCTCCTGATTTTGAGAAAAGTTCTTCATCTGCAAATCAGTGGGCTGATGAAGAGCTTCCCTTGATGGTTCCAGATTCTCAGGTTCTGTATATGCCTTACAAAGATCATTTATCCTATGATGATAATACAGTTGCAGAAGGTAAGGATGGGGCTTTCTTGTCATATGTCAGCGGCCCCCATGAACAAATCGAAGATCATTTTGACTGTAACGCTGATGAACCTGGCATCTCCTCTATTAATATAACAGATAGGGCAGGTGAGGGCGAAGCTTCCTCGTCATTCGTGAGCGGTGACCATGAACCAAAAATAGACTATATTGACTTTAGCAGTTTTTTTGATGAGCCTGAGATACCCGAAGGACCTGTTTTTAGACTGCTATCTAAAGCTGAAGTTTCTGAAGCTGGTTTTATGGCTGACAGCAGTAATGATAAAACAGTTAGTGCAGGTAAGGGTGAAGCTTCCTCGTCATTCGTAAGCAGTGACCATGAACAAAACATAGATTATGTGGACTTTGCCAGTTTTTTTGACGAGCCTGAAATATCGGAAGGGCCTTATTTTCGACCATTATCTAAATCTGAAGTTTCTGAAGCTGGTTTTATGGCCGTCAGCAGTAATGATAAAACAGTTAGGGCAGGTAAGGGTGAAACTTTTTCGTCATTCATGAACGGTGACAATGAAAGAAACATAGATTATGAATCTATTAACAGTTTATTTTACGACCGTGAGACATCTGAAAGACCTGTTTTTGGACCACCATCTAAAGCTAAAGTTTCTGAAGCTTGTTTTATGGCTGTCAGCAGCGACTCTGATCCTGCAGTTCTTGATGATTCGGATTCACCAGTGTCTGTAGATAGGTGTTTGGCTCAGTTCACCAAGCCTGAGATTTTGTCAGAAGACAATGCTTGGCATTGTGAGAATTGTTCGAAGAACCTAAAACTTGAGCGGTTGAGAGAAAAGAGAAAAACTGAAAGATTGAGCAAAGGATGGGTGAATGAAAATGGAGCTAGTTCGGTTTTTGATGAGTGTAGAGACAATTCATTAAGTCAATCCTGTATAGATCCCGAAAACGGGTATAAAGCTGCTCCTCCGATCACAGAATTGCCAAACTGCAAGGAAGAGGAAAACGCAATAGATGATGGAATTCTGGGAGACTCAGATCCAAAGCAAGCTCCAATTACTTCTTCTGTTACTGAAACTCCTATCCTCGGTGGAGAAACCATCAGTTCTCAACCAGCCAACGACAATGAATGTGAAAACTGGGAAGACTTGGCAGTAGATTCTGAGAAAGTGATAGTAAAAAGAGCTGCTACTAAAAAGGTACTTGTAAACAAGGCACCACCTGTCTTGACCATTCATCTCAAAAGGTTCAGCCAAGATGCTCGAGGCAGAATAAGCAAGCTAAGTGGCCATGTTGATTTCCAAGAGTTCATTGATCTTAGCCAATATATGGATACCAGGTACGCAGAATCTTTTCCTTTAATGTTGCCACATTTGGTCTGAACCATCATAATATCCAATCATTGTTTTATTTCTCACGCTCTCTAGGTGCTCCGAAGAAGACCAGCCGGTTTACAGGTTGGCCGGGTTAGTGGAGCATTTAGGGACAATGAGAGGAGGTCATTATGTTGCTTACATTAGAGGAGGCCACAAGGAGATGAGGCAGTCTGATATTAAAGAACCAAACTCATCCATATGGTATCACGCAAGCGATTCTTTTGTTCGACGGGCTTCTTTGGAAGAAGTTCTCCGTTCTGAAGCGTATATCTTATTTTACGAACGAATCTGAGAACCTAGAGACTGGAAATCTTTTGTTTTTTTTTGCTCTTTCTATAATACAAGTTAAAAGGTCAAGATAGGTTTGACGTTCTTCACAATTTGTGCTGGTGAATTTGACTCTCTTGACAATTGAGTTAAAAAAAGTTATAACATTTTGCCTTGTTTGAAAAGTTAAGTATATTTTTACGTTCAGCTATAGATAATGGCTACGTAAACTGTAGAACGTTATAAACTCTACCGTTATAACTACTTGGTTTAGTTGAAAACCGGGCACATTTCAGGCTGACGTACAATATATATTACGTCGGCGGCGAGATAGTAAAGGTCTTGATTCCGGTTCCAGCTCCACAATGCATGCGTCTCATTCTTCACCTAAAAAAGGCAAACGTTAACAATCACCTATTCGGTTTAAGCAATTAACTACAACAAGCATCTGGTTTATATTGGTACCATCTGAGAAAACAACGAACCGGTTCTGAGTTTGATTTATGATTTCATGTGATTTGCAGTCAATAGATTCAAGCATGCTTATGCCCCAAGGAACTAATCTTAGTAGGTTACTTGAACATAAAGCGATAAAGAATAGAGAGAGAGATCTAACTTACTTCTAGCATACCGAAACCGAAGCTGCTCTCTCTGTATGCGCTATACTCCGGCTGCTTAACCGGACAAGTCTCATTGTTTACAGGCTCCAACGTGAAGTTAAAGCCACTGGATCTGCACGAGTAGTCCTGAGAAGGATCTGGACAGTTTCCTGGGTCATCTAAATGCTGAGTCTCCAGCTTCCCAGCTCCTCCTGCACCGGTTGTTATATAAACCGGGCCACATTGGTCTAACAGGTAGTTGTAGACTCTGTTTGATCTCTCATATGCATCAACCTAATTCATGTTTTATGGGAAAATCAGTGTCAAAGAACATATTTCCCAAAAGCAAAGGAATACTCCAACAGCACAACACACCATACCTGACTATTGAAGATGATATCGACTCGGTAGCTATAGAGCAAGTCTTCAAGATTTATCCTCATGGATTCAGCTTCTCTGTAATGCCCTTTGAATGTGCTGTACCAAGGAAGACTCCAAGTTGCAACCACCCATGGAGTTTCTGATCTGTTTATGATACTCAGGTCACTTTCAAGCCAAATATACTGATCAGCTGTTGAAGAAACAGGAAATTCGGGAAATCAGAACACATTTCAATGCAATTTAAACCTAAAGAAAGAAATTTAAAACATGGAGAAGCTTTACATGAGTTATCATTAGGTGTGTATGAATTGAGGACTATGAAATGAGCTCCTCCCGCGTTGAAGGAATAGTATAATGGTGAGAAAGAACCGCTTTCGTTTGAAGGGAATGCAAATCTTGAACTGTATGCAGCGAATGTCAGATTATTATCGGTCTGCGGCTCAATCTCGTGCTCTCCTGCTACCATCATGGTTGGAACATTAGCTGTAAGTGGCTCCATGAACCTGTCATCAAGGACGGCCCCCATTAATTTAGTGTTTAAAACCACCAAAGGATTCACAATCACTAGAGAAAAATCTTCTTTTACCTTCCCCAATAATCCCAGCGAGGCTGATAAGTTTCTCGACTTGAATAACAAGAACCACAATTAGAACTGGTTCCGTTTTTCTCACAATGACAAGAACTACAATCTAGTTTAGTGTTATTCGCGAGATAAGTATCCGCGTAGCTGAATCCTCCAATTAAAACCACAAGATCAGGATGGTTAGACAGAATCTTTGTCAAAACTATTGATGTGTTGTAAGTAAGACCCAAATCTCCAGCCACAACGATTCTGTGCGGGTAATTCTCTGATGTAGACTTAGGCATTGTCCTGAAGTAATACTCTTTGCTCATTGCTGATAAAGACAGGTCTCCACATCGGTATCGATACAATGTGTTTGGTTTAAGACCTGTGAGTTGAACATGGTGGATGATACCTGATGTATAGTTCTTGAGACCATTCTCAGAAGGATACTGTTGGGTATAAACAATAGAATGGCCTGTTGCATTTTTATTTATAGTACTACGGACATCGAATTCACGGTATTGGACTATGCTTTGCACACAATTAGGATCCAGAGGTGCAGAATCTTCTTCACCAATTTGGTAATCCCCTGTAGTATATAATACAACAACCATGCTTCAAACAAATGCATAGATAAAAAAAAAAAAAAGCAATTAGTTTCTTAAAGGATGAATTTTTAAGACAAAAATCTTGATGCTGTAACAGACCGGAACAACAACTGTTGAAGCTATAAAAGAAAATCCATGTCTTGGCTCAAAAAGATTAAAACTTTATGTACTTTCAAGCGAAACTAATCACACATTCCACATTTTTGTAAACATAAATAAGTCAAAGTTTGAGAATTTAATAATATTTCGATCTTTGCAGTAAAAAAAATTGTTTTTTTCGAAAGGGAGAGAAAGTTGAAGAGACAAAAAGACCTGTGACCCAAGAAATCCAGACGGAGTCAAAGCTGTAAGAGAGAGAGACAGAGATCTGTTGGGGAAGAAACTCCGGATTGGGTTTTACGAAACTCGGGTCGGATTCTGGCAAGTCGAATGCAATCGGGTTAAGATTCGGGTCGAGTGGAGCAGTCACGGGGTTAAGCGGACCGTCGAGCGTCGTAGGGAAACCATGAACGATGATAGTAACAGTTGAAGCGAAAATGACGAAAAAGGACATCGACATTGTACATTTTACCACCATTTTTGGTTTTTTTACATAAATGTGTGTTGTAGCGAAGAAGATAATAAACTCTATAGTATTTAGAATAAAATCTTAACATTAAAACCAAAAAGAAAACTCTTTACCACAAATAAGAAATTTGGTTATGTACAGAAAGGTCAAATCGATTCCGATTATTTCCCGGTTTACAATGTGAACCGGTGGACGCTTTATCGATGTCCGGTTCTCAGATTAGAAACCAATTACCGAGAGAAAAAATATTAATTAATTTCCTTGGAAAATATTAGTACGAATTAACAACAATGTTAAGAGAGACACTTAACAAAAAAAAACAACGTTAAGAGAGACTTAAGATGCAACATGGAAATTAAAATTGTAATTAAGAAAAATAGCTAAAGTCTTTAGCAGGCCTAATTCTGTTTATCCCGGGAACAAATCGGGAAAATTTTGAAGAAATTCCGGCGAGATCTCAAGGAGTGTAAGGACCGCCACCGCCAAGTTCCATGACCGAACAGATCTCATCTTCTTCTTCCATCTTCAGCTGTTGGAACAAACAAAAAATTAAATTAAAATTAACAGTGAGCAACAGTGTTGTTGTAGATAAATAATATAAACAAAAATCAGAAGCTAAAGATGAGGGACCTGAGCAGGAGTCTGTCGTGCTTTGATCTCTCTACCGTTGTAGACGAATCGGACAGAACCGTAATCTAAGTTTCTCTTCATACAGTAAGCACTCATTAGTTTCTTTAGATGTGCATGAGCTCCTATTTTGTACAGATCCTCTGCTCCCTGTTAGAAAAAGAGGTGTTTTTTCAATATTTCAATATTTTTAAGTGGAATGAAAAAAAAAAAAAAAAAGAGATTTTCCTAAATTGTTTGTCAGAAGAAGGGAAAAGAACAGATAATGTAGAAGAAGAATGGACCTGTTGGTTCTTGACCTTGAGAGTAATCTTCTGATGGGGTGTTTCAGGAGATCGAGACCTCTTTGATACAAATGAAGCAGAGATGGTGCCTGAGGAACTCACCATTGTTGTTGTGAGAAACTAAACTAGACCTTTAAATTCTTTTGCACAGATCTTTCTGGGTTTTGAGGTTTTTTCTGGGTTCCAGAGAGAGAGAGAGAGAGAGAGAGAGAAGAGAGATGAAAGGTAAGAAAGTGATGGGAAAGTTAAAAGAGCTTTGAACGAACATTAAAGTACAATCCTCGTCAAACACTCTTATTGGTCCATTTTCTTCTTTTTTACTAATATCCCATTTTACCCCTGGTCTTTTGTTTTCTCGATCATCCTTCACACGTTACACATTCCTACAGTACGTTGAAAATTGTACTGACTCATGCAACAAGCATCATTGTTGTTAACTTACAAATTCAAACATATTTCAAATGATACTAGCACAAAGAGAAGGAAAAAAAAAGGAAAACAAAAAACAAAAACAAATACATCTGTTAGAAGAACTAAAAAAAAAACTGTATAATAGACTACGCTTTTCGTTTATCGTCTGTCTCTCCAAACCAAAAACATCACATCTAGAGAGGAGTCTCATCCTAAAGAGAATTTCCATGTCTAAAATTTCTATAACGAAATAAATAATTTTTACTTTTTTACCTCCACAAAGTGTCTGACTTTAGGTGATTCAAGGAAAAAGAAGAGACACCGGAAGATGTGTGAGAAGGAAAGGATCGATCAACATGAGGAGAAAACATTGTTGGAGATCTTCATCATCATCATTATTGTCGTAATCATCATCGTCATCATCATAAATAATCGATATAATCTGGAGATTGGATGATTCGAATTAGCTCCTTCAGGTTTGCTAGAACCTGACGTGGTCCTAGACTATTTTCCCCCACAAAGTTCAGGAGTTGCTCGATGTTCTGTGATATGATGACTATGCTTAGATGAGAGGAGAGGCAAACTATGCATTCTACTGTTTCAAGTATCAGGAAGAGGAGCAAAAAGAAAACTTTCTTTAACTAACCTTGTTTAATAAGAAGACAGCGTAGGCAGCTCGTGTTGTATCTTGACCATCCAGAAACAGAGGAAACTCTACAAAGTTAGAATTTTGGGAAAGCGTGGTAATCGGAGACATGTCTGATTGTGAAGGCTCAATGTAAGGTGCATAGTCTCGAATGTATGTTTTGGAACCACCTAGGCGCAAAGGATAACGAATAGGCATTCTCAAGTAAGGAGCTATTAGGGACACAGCCTGTAAAAGCCAAGCAGGAAGCCATTAGTACTTTCTATCAAGAATTTTAAACCAAAAACGATTCCTGAAAACCAGAGCCAAGAGATTTAAGGCCGCACACAAAACACAAGTATGAAGCAAATTTTAATGCATAGATCAGTAACAAGAAAAGAGAACAGAACATACATGGGCTACATATCCCAGGGCGGTTGCGGACTTCTGAACTTCTTTCTTGTCAGTGAAGAAGCTCATCCTAGTAAACGGGGCCATACTAAAAGGCAACCCCAGAATTCTCACAGATCCTTGACTCAGAGGCTTAGTCCCTACTAAAGATATAAGCATGTCAAGCAGGGAAGATGCTGCAATGAAGAATTTTTTTCAAAGACTTACAACAACAAAACGAAAATTAGTCCTGATATCAATATCAGACTGAATTGAAGTAAAGATAAAGGCATGCATTAAAAGATATTAAGGAGTTAGGTCTCGTTCTCATCAAAGGCTACATTCTTAATTCTTATAAGATTTTAGACTAACTGACCTAATCTACTGCCACCAGGAAATGATTCCAGTTCTTGGTCTTGTGAAGGTCCAGCCTCAATCTTCAAGGGATAGATAAATGAAACTTGAGATATCATGAACTGCTGCCTCTTTCTCAGCTTATTCGTTACAATCTTTAAATGTGCATAACCACTCTCTCCTTCTAGTTGGCAGTTGGATTCCTATGAAAACAGAAAAATACGCTAAAACAGTGTATCTATGATTCAATCATTCACCAATTTGGTCACAGCATAGTAGAACTACAAGACAGTTAGATGAAGAAAACGTAAGTCGTGAAATGAAAATAGAAATCAAAACTGTATGTACGCCTGTCAAAGAAGAGGCCAAGAGAACATAGGGAAACAACTAGTTTGAAATAGCCAAACACCAGGACATGCAAAAGTGATGCACCTTGCTTCCTAATAAGATTATTTTCCACTGAATGAGGTAATACCTGCAATTTACTTTTAGCAATGGAAAGAGTTGTTCCGCCTACTAGCAAAGATCTCACTTCTGTACTTAGATTATCCTCTTTCTTTTTAACATCCTGCTCAATAACTTTGCAAGCAATTGATGTCTTGTCCACCAGCAATTTTCTTGCTTCCAATCTCTGACGCATTTCTTCAAGTTCATTAGTGCGTCTCAATGATTCAGTACTAACCTGCCCGAAATTTTGCCGCCCGCTAATCCGCGGGCTAATCAATTAAAGCTCATCGGGTAGTTAAAGTAAGAGATAAGCTAGGTAGAGCATCAAGAGCAATAAGACTAAACAACACAATAAGAAAGCATAAATTTTCTTTGAATGAGTTTCTTCTAGCTATCTTCATCCACATTCCTTAAGACAATGCCACTAATAAAAATTTATGCTTTGTCCTCTCAAATGAATCAAAACCAGACATGCCCAAAAGGAAACACATGAGTAAGAGAAAAACCTGAATAAGAGACTCAAGTTTGGGCTGCAGGATTTGCTTCTTCTCTGTTGCTAATTTCAGAGCAGAAGAAAGACTCCATAACCTCGTGAGCTCATGGTCAAATTCTTCCCACTCTATAATCTTCACATCTTCTCGATCGCTTCTTCTCAAATTTTCTGACAAACTTCGCTCTGATTCTCCTTCCATCAACAATGATCTCGGAACCCACGCAACGCAAGTTCTGGCATCAAGTCTTTACGAAAATACCCAGATCTTTTCATATCACGCCTCGAATTTCATCACCAATCTTAACGGAACCGAGAGATCGGATTAGAACAATCAAAAACCCTAACTTTAAGAAAACCGATCACCTGGAGATGATGATTGGTTCAAAGGAAGAGAAACGAAAGCTAGAAACGAATCGGAGAAATGAGAGATTGATACACAGGATTGAAGAAGCTTCTCAGGCTGATTCGTTGTTCGATTTTGCAGAAATTTTAAAGTTTGTTACTTTAGGAAAGAGATGGAGATTAGAAACTTCCGGGTCAGAGGTTACCCGAACTAGTTAACGGGTGGGTATTCTCTAAAGACTGGGTTAAGTAGTAGGCACCGTTCGATCCTCTCAACTGGTGGCGATTCCTCATGGAAAGTATGATTCCTTTAACCAAAGTTGTTTTGTACTTTGTGGCAAACCAATTCTTTCCTACCGGTTATCTCAATGTTGAACCAATTATTATGGGGATATCTTAATTTGTAAACGTTTTCACGAACACATATTTAATTTTAAAAATTTTTAAAATAGGGTTGAACTCCTCGTTTCGAATGCTTCGATTTGATATATTATTTATCAAATTTTAAAAACTTGACAATAATAATTTGATATATTATTATTTTTGACTTCATAAGATTATTCTAGATATTTTTGGAAATGGAAAGTAAAGTTGCAAAACTTTAACTTGGTTTAACTTGGTTTTACAATGTTGGATGTATTAATATGCTCTCTGACTTCCAAAAACTTCATCATGTGCATATATGGTATCAAAAGCTTGGTTGTTATGTTAGGTTACAACTTTTGTAAGACCAATCAAATTTTAGCGTAAGTATTATTAAGTAATTTTGCATTTAATCATGTCAAAGATTAATCTCTCTTACTTTACAAACGATAAACCCAAAGTTTAATTCCTCTTCCTTTACAAATCACAAAACTCATCATATCAGACACAAAAATAAAGCTTTGGTCCAAAGCGTCATTGATTCCAGGAAATGTTGTACAAGAGTTCTTATAACTATTGTGCTGTCGTGAAGTGGTTGTGAGTCACATGATATGTAAAATATGAGGAGATTGTTTTGGTGATCAAGGTTTTACTCGATTGGAACGCCACAAGAGTCTCATTAGCTATGGTGAAATGTTAATATGATATTTTCAAGTATTTGCACTCTTTCATACTGAATGATGAAATTATGTAATTTTTGTCTTTCAAAGCTATTATGCAATTTTTTTAATTAAAAAAACATTATTATTATTACTAAAAAAACTTGATGTCACCAAGTAACACCAAACATGCGTAGTCACTTAGGGCACTTGGGGCTTGGTTTGAAAGCATTTTAAAAAGGTACAAATCAATAACAAGGGAATTTTTTTTTATAAAAAAAACGGGAATTTGGTGTCAAAATCAAAATAGTTAACCGTCTATGAGTAAAAATTTCATAACTGCCTATATTTTGAATTGATGTCGCTTATAGTGAATTAGAGTTCCAAGGATAATATTTTTGGTTGATTTGATTCCCAATGTCTTTTGACACAATGTGTTTGATATGCTTCTTCTTTTCACACTTTTCATGTATATATGACCTTGAATTTGGTTTTACATATTTTCCCTTTATATATATACATTTAGCCATCAAAATTCTTGAGAACGAAAAGTCAATTCTCTTGTCATATTTTCAAAACATTCTCATTTATACATCAAATTCCAACTATTATATAGTCTCCAAATTATATATGTTCTTTCGAGAGATTATATATTCATATAGTTTTGGTTGCTCCACATCTTAAGGAACGAGAAAGAGAGAAAGTTGTAACTTATGTATCTTTTTCAAACAACAAAAATCGTTTGATTTACTTACAATCACAAAATGCATCTGAAATGTGATTCAACATGCTATAAATACTGACTGTGCATTCATAAACAATGTCTTAATTAGCACTTTTTCATATAATCTCAAGTTTTTTCAAATCCTTTGTCTGTGAATAATACTCACTCTGAATATCTTTCCCTTCTTCCATCATCCTCTTAACCATTGCTACCCTCTCAAGAATCCTATCCACTGCAATGTCAAACGCATCTTCAATCTTCTCCGGTCCAACCAACCCCGGTTTAGTGTATATGATTTTCGGTATAATCTTCGCAACCACATTCCTCATCCTCAAAATCCTCTCCTTATCGATCATACCCAAAATCTTCTTGAGAGTAACCGTTCCATTTCTCATTTCTTTCTCTGGTATGTAAACCGAGTACTTGGTATAATCCTTAGGGAAATACCAAATATATTGGTTATAACCGGAACCCGGGCTGAAGAAAACCGGTATACAACCGGCCAAAATCGAATCGAATATCGATCTCCGAGTATACGAATCTCCCGAAGGTTGTAAACAGAAAACCGATTTTTCAAACACCTCCATTATCTTAACCGGATTATCGCAGTCATTAACAAAACAGTTAAGAAATTTGCATTTACCGTGAGATGCAAGGCACTGCTGTATAATCTCTCCCCTTATAGATCCATCCAATTTAGGTCTTGGACCTCCAACAAACGAAAACAAATACTTCCTCTTCACACTCTTCACTTTTCTCTGCCATCTCCAAATCTCGGTTAAGCTCTTTGGATGGAAATAAGTCGGATAAGGAACCGCAAATTCGTTAGCCCAAGCAGTCGTTTCGATTGCTAACATTGTCATGTTTGCGAATTCGGGTAGTCGCATCAGTTTGCTTCCCCAATCTGAATCTTCATCGCGAACCCTCCTGAAATCCCAAGCGATCCGTCCGGTCACAAAGAAGTGATCTCGACCGTACATCTTCCTCCATTCAGGTCTCTCACTTAGCCATTGAGCCAGTTTCATCCCCAATTCGTCTCTAACAGTCATGTTGTATCCCCAGAGGTGACGGCTCACATCAAACCCTGCGTAGTATGGGACATAGGTCGCTGAGGCTAGAGAAGAGTCGTTGGTTAAGCACTCGTAATGTTTCATTCTCTCTCGGAAGATAACCGCCAGCAAGAATTGGTTCGTTGAGTACCAAGAACCGGTTTTCGCGGTTAAGACTCGAGCTGTGGTGTTATCGGACTCCGAAACCTGTGGACCGAGCCCGGAATTGACCATGAATGGACACATATCGAACCATTTGATGAGTGGGCGACAGTCTTTGATTATGTCGTCGTTGAATATGCTTGGAAGATTGTACATATAGACGTACCTTCCAGCGCAAGTATCTGTTTCTTCTTTCTCAGGATGTTTCGCTCTGATTCCATCACTCTCATTCGCATTTCTGGTGAGATTTAGGGTTTGATTATGTGAGGAACCAACGATGGAGATGAAGAAGTTGTTTACGTGATGAGTGATTTGGAGATTTGTTCCGATCAAATCTAATTTATTGATTTGAAACAGAACTAAAAGACAGAACAAAAACGCACTTGAGATGACAACCCAAAGCTTTGGAACTGGTTTCATCATCTTCTTTTACTTGTGAGAGAACATTGGTATTACTTTATGAGATCTTAAATTAAAAAATGTGATCTTAAGAAGAAAAATAATTACATTTTCTTCGTTTTAATGGCTACATTTTCCAAATGAAGTAATATATATTTGGCCATTTATTATGAATTGAATTCAATGGATTATATTCTAAATCTTCTCTCTCTTTTTATAAAGTTTCTATCATGGACACGCAAAGATATGATTCACATATGTCAAAGAGAGATCTCAACTCTTTTACCCAACTGTACTCCACAAAATTTAATTGGAAAATAATATGAATACCAGGAAACTTAATAATATTCTAAAATAAAGGCCATTTATTTGTGTTCTAAGAGATTGCAAATCCAGAAGGGATTTTTACGCGTGATCATTCAATTTCAAATCTTTCATTTTCATGATTAGTGTTAAGAAAGAAAAAAAACCACTATATATATAAACAATTTAAGTTATGGCCATTTTAGATATTTTTTCTTGTGAAACCATTTGACATTTGTCTATTATATATATGGACCTTAAGAAGATTCCTTTCCTTTGTTGGAAGATTTTATATAAATAGCAAAAGAAATTTATAAATCAACATTAACCTTTTTCGGTACAAGTGAATAATAGTATAATTTAACTTCCTGAATTTATTTTGGTAAGAAACCTAAATTTCCTCTTAATTTTCTGATTAGGTATGTTAAGCTTTTCTATCTATTAATGAGAAAATTTGTGTGTATGACAAATGTTTCCAGTAACTTGTCAATTTTTTTTTACCACAATTAGCTGAAAGTTTTTGACGTGAATTCCTTTAGCGAAAAAGTGTAATTATTTAATACGGTTGGATTTAGAGAGAGCTAATAAAAAAAATGTGGAATACATGGTTTACCTTGGTTTAAACAAAAGAAATTTTTGAGAAATATCCTTTTTGATGTGTCCATTTTTAAAATTGAGCATTTTAGGTGTCCATTTTCAAAAACATCCCTCATTAAATCTGTTTTCATGTTATTCAAGTTCTAGTTTGCCCCCAAAAAAAACAACTTGGAATAAAATCTTAAAGATCATCGACCATATTCAACTATAACTGAAATCGTATTAAAAAGCCTCAAAATAGAAACTATATTTCCCCCTAATCTATATATATAATAGGAGAGTTGTCTCTCCATCTACGGTGTCCACATCATCATCCAAGTCATCATATTTTAATTTTGTGTGGACTCAACATATTTTATTTATTAAAACAAAAAAACATTAAAACTATATAATGGGAGAGTTGTCTCTCCATCAAGGGTGTCCACATCATCATCCAAGTCATCCTATTTTAATTTTGTGTGGGCTCAACATATTTTATTTATTAAAACAAAAAAACATTAAAACTATAATTAATTCACACATTTTGTAATTTATATTATTATATTTTAATAAACAAAAATAATAATTTACGAAAGAATAAATAAATATTAAAAATGAAAAATTAGTAAATATTCCTAAATGACTAGAGATATGAAAAAGAACTTATCATATATTTTAATGATAAAACTATCATTTTTAAGAGTTACAATTATTTAGTTGAATAAAGAAAAATAAGACTTAAAAATATACTAAATTTAAAGGTTTTAACTGAAAATAAAAAATAATTCGTTTTTGAAATATACACATTTAAAAAGTATCAATTTTGTATATTATATTTATAATTATAATATAATATAAATAGTTACATTAATAATTTTTCTATATTATCAATGTTTCTAAATTAAAAAGTGGTGGGTTCTTTTAAAAATCAAATGAATACCTAAAAAAAAAACTAAATATTAATCAGTGTTTATAGAATTTTAACATTCGGATAATTTTAAAATGATCCATTCGGATAAGAAACTGTGTAATAATCATATTTCGAATGCTATTTGGAAATTAGAATAGTTTTTAATTGGAAATTGGAAATGGAAGAGTTTTTAGTTAGAAATAAGAAGAATTTTTTTATAAAAAAAAAATAGACGTCTTTTTAAATTAGAATAATTTTTATGAGTTTTTTTGTTACACATTTGAGAAAAAAATCAATATTAAGAATACTATCTTGAATCATAATATACACTATATGTGAAAAAAGAATTTTATATTTTTCAGTTGGTCAAGATAAAGTGTAATATTTTACGTTTGAACCTGATGATTGTAAATAGGAATAAGTTTATATATAAGATTTGTTGTCTATAAAGAAATTTTAAATACACCAAAACATAGACAAAAAGCTTTATGAATAAAATCTCCCCAAATATTCTGATGTTAACTTTAATAAAAAAAATATCATGCAACTTATAAAAAAGAATGGAGTACTGAAAGATAGGGTGTGAGCCAATATAAGGTGAATAGAGAGTAGATTTCCAAAGACGACGAGTAAATCATAGAAGATAACGAGAGAAATTGTAGTGAAAAATATGAGAAATGTTTTACTATTTTGGAAAGATTGTATCTTTAATTTTAAAATTCAAATGATTATATTTATGTTCAAAAATTCTCATTAATAAAAGTTTTATATTAAAATCCCGCGCGACGCGGGTACATAATCTAGTATATATAGTTATGTAGCTGCTAGATCCGTGTCATCTTGAACAATGACACTCTCTCAAGAACCCTAGCCACTGCAATTTCAAACGCATCTTCAATCTTTTCCGGTCCAACCTCCCCCGGTTTTGTATAGATTATCTTTGGTATAATCTTCTCAACCCCATTCCTCATCTTCAAAATCCTCTCTTCACTAATAATACTAGCCAATAACTTCTCAATACTAACCTTCCCATTTTTCACATCTTCCTCCGAAATGTAAACCGAATACTTGGTATGATCTTTTGGAAAATACCACTTGTACTGGTTGTAAACAGAATCCGGGCTAAATAAAACCGGTATACAACCGGCTAAAATCGAATCAAATGTCGATCTCCGAGTAGGTGTATCTCCTGGTGGTTGTAAACAGAAAACCGAATCTTGGAACACCTCCATTACCTTAACCGGATCACTACAGTCTTTAGTCGATGTATCACAATCAAGAAATTTGCAACTTCCTTGTGATGCAAGGCACTGTCTTATAATCTCCCCTCTTATAGATTCCTTCATTTCGGGCCGATTAGCTCCGACAAACGAGAACAAGTATCGTCTCTGCATCATCCTCACTTGCATCTGCCATCTCTTAACCTCGGTGCGACTCTTTGGATGGAAGTAAGTTGGATAAGGAACCGCAAACTCGTTGCTCCAAGAATTCGTCTCAATCGATAACATCGTTATGTTCTTGAATTCAGGCAACCGCATCAGTTTGTTTCCCCAATCTGAATCTTGATCAGTAACCCTTCTAAAATCCCGACCAACCCGTCCCGTGACAAAGAAGTGATCTCGTCCGTACATTTTCTTCCACTCTGGTCTCTCCCTAAGCCATTGAGCTAGATCTTCACCAAGTTCGTCTCTGAGCTTCACGTTGTATCCCCAAAAGCGTCTCACATCGAATCCAGCATAGAACGGGACAAAAACCGCAGAAGAAAGGGAAGAATCGTTGGTCAAACACTCATAGTGTCTCATTTTCTCTCGGAAGATAACCTCGAGCATGAATTGGTTCGTATAGTACCAAGAACCGGTTTTGATTGTTAAGACTTGAGTGGTATGGTTATGTTTGTCCTCCAAAATCCGTGGACCGAAGCCAGAGTTAACAAGGTACTTACACTTATTTCGTAATTCGATGTATGCTTCACAGCTCTTGATCAGATCGTTGTTGAATCTGCTTGGAAGATCGTGCATATACACATACCTTCCGGCGCAAGTATCTATCCCTCCTTGCATAGCCCTCACAGTGATATTTAGGGTTTCTTTGTCGGAAAGAAAGAGATAGTTTGCGATTTGATTGATGTGAATCAGAAAGAGCATAGAGAACAAAGGTGTTGGTAAGATTTCTATCAAAAGCTTTAGAGCTCGTTTACTCACAAGCTTTTTCTTTTTGGGATTGAATTTCTCCATTATCATACTTGATTATGGAGAAATGAAAGTGGTACTACTTTGTGAAGATAAGATACAAAAAGGTAAGTGATTTTACATAAAATTAATATATTGTTCTTCTACTTGGTGGAGATGTGAATCTTTAATTTGTTTTCTCTGTGTATCAGCAACTTGTTTTAAATAGTAAATAGAAGTACTATGAGTTTAGTAAGTCAATTTTGTGGATAAAGAAAGGAAAACAATAAAGTTATCGTGTTCCTTTTATTTTCTTAAATTTAAGCATTACACCATCACCATATAAAATGACACATTCCACTTGTCCTAATATTATAAAGGATTCTCTAAATTATAGAGATGGTCAGTGCTATTACTATTACATGATGAAACACGTAAGACTTGTTTTAAAAGATTCTAAATTATACAAACTCAAATGTTTTAAAAGACCCTAGACACTTTGACAATGAAAATAGGAAAAGAAAGACCCTATAGACTTTAGTATAATAGTTTGTAATTTTAATATGGGCCATTTAAATATTATTTTGTCTGAACCAACCAAAGAAAAGTTTTTGGTAAAATATAAACAGAGGTTAAAAAGGATTTGATTCGACAGAGAAAATGTGTAGTCTTTTACTATCTTTTTGTAGAAGAAATTAGATATACCACTACCACTAAAAGATTGAACCAATTGAAAGTAAAATGACACTAAAATTTAGATAATAATCAAAAGAAAAGTACCTAACACAAAGATCGTAGTTGAACTTGAAACTAGTTGCAAATGAAAAGAAGCAGTATCTCAAAGTTCAAAGATCTGTTTTTCTCTGCTTTTTGTCTTTCAACAGAAACCAATAAAACCAACAACAAATTCCCACTAATTTTAAAAGAAAATAAAATCATGAAGCGTAATCAAAGGCTTGTGGAGGTTGTGGCTCGTCATCTACGGCCATAGCCGAGGCCGTGGTTCCTTGTGCCGCTGCACCAGTAGCAGGAGAAGCTGTTGAAGTTGGGGCATCGGTCAGAGAGAGAACCTCTGGCTCGTGTTGACGCAAGTCTTTGAGAAGAACGAAACCTGATGGAGCTAGCTTCACTGGTACATATCTGCTGTCTTCAAGTAACTTTATGTATTTCTCTTGAGCTGGGACTACTCGAGCTGGGTTCACTAGAATCTCAAACGCTGGCTCTGGCTCAGCAGCTTTCTTCTCGACCGCTGCTGGGCTATCGACCTGACAGTTCGTGTAGACAAGACTTTCAAATCACTGATGATCCAAACATGATAAAGACAACTCGAAAAAGAAAGTATCTAAGGATGATTGCCAAAAATATACATCCCAAAACCTGAACTTGAATCTAAACTGCAACCATTCCAAACCGATCCATAGTATATTTGGTGGTTACTATTTTCTTAAAACTGAAAAACCTTAACCGAAACCCAGATTAAACATGCCTTCAGAATTCATCAACTTTGAAATTCAAAATGTCTAATGTGTGTGATTGTAAAACAGAATAAACCTTAGAAGTCTAGTAAATTATGAGATTAATCAGGTAATCAATGACAGAAGCTACTAGAAGAGGCTAGAAATTGACAACATTACCTGCATAGAGTCTCCTTCCTTCTCAGTTGATGCTTTTCCTTTTCCAGATCCACTTTCATTGACAGGCTTTTCAGGACCAGATGTTTTTTCAGCAATAGCTTTTTGCTCTGCTTCTTTCTTAGCCCTAGCTTTGGCTTTAACTGAGGTTGAGAGAACAGCAGTTGGAAGTTTAACGGCGGTATTGGCTGTAGGAACCGTGGTGGGTTTTGGGTACTCAAACAAAGACGGTTTTGCATGTGACATGAACTCAAACTTTGGGACCTTAAGGTCGTAATTCAAACCGATGAAAGCGGTTGGTGAGAAGGCCAAACTAATGAAATAGATCAGTGGGTACCAATACCAAAACTGGCTGAAGACTGCAAGGCCGATAACAGCAGTGACTTTGTCATGTTTGGTCTTAGAGAGCAGTCTTATAGTAACGTTCCTACCACCAGCATCAAGGATACCAGAGGCCAGAATTGCTCCCATCTTGCTCATTGTATCTTCGTGCTTGTCGAGTATAATCTTCTCAAGTTGGCGCCTACAAAACATAGATAAAATCTCAGTCTACCAAGATATTCTCTACGTCCAAATGCTGAAGAAAACAGATTTATACTAACCTAAATGCTCCAACACGAGAATCGCTAGCTTCGCTAATTTGAACCATCACCATGGCCATTGCAATCAAAGCACCTTGACGAACAAAGTCCACAACATCTGATGTAAGTGGCTCCAACAAGGATATCGCTTCGCTGAGGCCAGTGCCTGCACAAGAAATACCCACTGCAAGAGCCGCACCATAACGAACATGTGGATTGTACGACTCAGAAAGCAGAGATACAATACGGGGAGTCTAAAATTAAAAAAAAAAACATTGGAATCCGTTAGGGAAGGTAAGTGAACACAAAACTACTGGAAGTACTAAAGAAATGAAAGTTAGTGGTCACAGATAAGGGAGCATCGGAAACTGACCTGCTCTGGATCAGAGTACAAGACAAATCCAAGTGCCAGAACAGCAGTCCTCCTAACATCATCACTGACATCAGATACAGCAAAGTGCAGCAATTGTCGAATTGCCTTGTTGTTAGCGGTTCCACTGTAAGCCAATGCCAATGCGTACATGCCACCATAACGAATGATAGGATCCTGATCTCTAGTCATCTGCTCAATCAAGGTATCTGCTCCTTCTTCTCTACCGTATACTGTAAGAGCTATTCCTAGAGCCAATCCCCTAAAAACGCATTCCAGATGTTGATTAGTGAAATACTAAAACAAGATAAAATGCACCCTCTTAACCAAAAAATTTCTTACTTTACATTACCTTATTATCTTCTCATGCTGTGTCTCATGAGCATAAGCAAGCATCTCACTTGCCTTTTCAGTAGCAGTTCCAACCAATAATAAACCCATGCTGATGCCAGCCGCTTCACCAGCAACTGCACTATCAGTATAAAGCACACTTTTGACATCATCATATATCTCTTCATCAGCTGTCCCGAGAGCTGACAAGCCAAGACCTAAGCAAGCTCCATGTTGAATGACCTGCATCCATATTTTTCCAATACACATTAATTCCCTGAACAAAGAGGCTGCCAGGGAAAATGAGAGACTATTTTGAAGTAAGATATTAATTAATCACCTCAACATTAGTGCTGCGTAGGCTATCACGTAGAAATTGCTTGATTCCCTCGCCATGGTTAGCATGAATAAGGCCAAGAGCATATAAAGCACCTCCTTCGGAATAAGGACTCCCACCACCACCTGCTCCTCCCTGAGGCAAGTATGGAGCCATCAATGACCTACCCTGTTGCAGATGACCTCTGTGAATAACACCTAATCCCGCTGTAGCACTAAACTTAGCCCAATTGGTTGCCCTGCTTAGCCAATCCTGACAATTAAAAAAAGAATAAAAATGAAAAGAAAGTTAAATACACTAAGTAGACAGTCAAACTCAAAAATACAGAATATTAGAGTGAAAGTAAATAATTTACCAAATTCTCTCTAAGGAAAGTGTCCACTGTAGTTCCAGCATGCATAATGGCATTAGCATATATTGTAGCACTGTGGCATACACTGTTCCGCATCTCTACAGACTGTTTGATTGTCTTCAGTATCAGCAGGTCCGATCTACAGAAAGACAAAATTATCAATGGAGCATATGATTACTTCCCGGAATAAACGATTTTAGAAGAAAAAAATATCTCGTTTCAAGATATCAAAACTTCAACAGTAACTTACTTGTTGTGGCTGTAAAGAAATTGAAGTGTCAGCTGAATAGATGTCTCTCCAGATAAAATTCCCTTAATCTTTGTCAACCTCTCAGCATATGTAGCATCAACTGGATCTGTCTCGTGCACAATTGTCTGAGCTGGAGTTTCATCCGCCATCTGAACATCCCCCAAAGGGTTCTCATTCGGAGCAGTAGTAGTTTCAACAGCCTGAGTTGCTTCTACAGGACGTGTTTTGGGAGCTGGAAGGCGATCTCTAACACTCAAGAGAAAGGCCTGGTGCTCGTTCTCTACAAGATCAAATGCAATTTGCAAGGCCAATAAAGCATCATCCTTGCTCTCCGAGCGAAGAAGCTTCTCCAATATGCTTGCAACACCTTGCGGTTCATCCAAAAACATGAGGCATTGACAAATGCTCAAATAATCAGGAGAAGGCAGCTTCTGGTAGACTTTAACAAGTAAACTAAGCACCTGAAAGAATAGACAAGGATGTCATCACCTTTCCAAATGAAGACTAAACTAAACAGCTTAGACTAAAGACCTAGAAAAAGGAACTTTTTAATTCAGGCATTGACACATCTCAGATAGGTATCACGAAAACTGAAAGACGACTATCAGTTACAGCTTAAGACATAGAGGATGCTACATATATGAGATTGCAGGCATGGTACTGGACGATGCAACATAGAAACTAAATGATCACAATATCTTACAGATGAGGCAAAGCTATACTGTTCTAATCAATCAATAGAATCAGAACATCAAATTTCTATTTAACCCAGGTCTGAGAACATCAGTCTCACCTCATGTCTATACTCTCTGCGGTTAACAAAGGAATGAGAAACATTGATGCAATATGATAAAGTTCCCTGAACATTATCGCTCTTCGTGATAGCTTCTTCCAACTTATCCAATCTCCGGCATTCTATCGCAATGCCCATGGCTTGTTGATACTTCCCATCACTGATGCATCTGCAGACGGGAAACCATGTAAGAACAATTGCAGCACTAAGAAGACAAGAGCATTAAATGCATAAGAATTCCATACTTTCCAAGCATTCTTTCAACAATCGCCTCCAGCCTGGGATCAATGTCCACCATCTCATTTGACTCAACTGCCTTTGATCTGAGACTGGCATATTCATCTATTGCTTTGGCTGAAAATATAACAGAAGCATCTGATGAGTATGCATTCATCCAGCATTTATTAAAACTCATATATATTATTCTACTTAAAAAGGCAGAAAACAATATATCTGGATGAACCTTCAAGTCTACTTTTAAGATAATAAGTCGTGCAAGCTCTATATGCTTTTCTTGCATTGATTCAAGTAGATATGATAAGCAATTTGCAGTCAACAGTTACCCTAGCTAGAGTCTACAGACAGAGAACAGCATAAAAAGAGTAAAAATCATCAACAAACTTCTCAATCCTCACCTAGAAGCGTATGAACATAATCAGAATCCTCTGAAACATCAAATAAGGGCCCAGCTCCAAGGGCATAAGACAACGAATCATTAAGCTCGCCCAAGTAATAGAAAACCTGCGATAATGCAACCAGGATCATCAAGAAAAACATATCTTGTAATACAATCATATAACGTGATTAGAAAAAGGTCCTGCCCCAAAACTTCTACCACTATCCACCAGCACTTAACGGGGAAAATAACCATAATGTGTTCAGAGCAACAATTATGCATTCCGCCACCAACATATAGCAAATATTATCTGCAACTAATCATAATTTAAGTTTGACAATCGCTAATTCACACCTTAGAGACCAGCAAAGCAGCAAGCTGCCTTTGATGCAGATCGAATTCTTCATCTTCATATAAACTCTCACTGTAAAAAAAAAATCTCTCGAGTCAAGCTATCAAGCAGTGCAAATCATTATAGAGATCTAACAACTAAAAGTATCATAAAACCAAAGCATTGCGCCAGCACAGCCTATACAACTTGAATCTATACCACTAGAATGTAAGATGATAAAGCAAAAAGGAATCCAAGCCTTCACATTACATCAGTAAAAGAACATTACCATGTCCAGGAAGAAGTTAGATCTCTATGACAGAAAAACAACTATTTGCTAAACTCGAATATCAATTACTCATTCATAATCTATAAAGATCACTAGAAAACTTGCTAAAGCTAGTCATATAAAAGAAAAAACTTTCCTTTTCTTATGCTACACATCATCGCCACAAACTAATCTATGCCTCAACCAAAAAAATTTGAACTTTAATACCTAAATCGAGAAGACCTACGCACAACGACAGCTCAAACAATCCAAATCCCACAATCTTCCCTCGAATTTCCCAGCAAGCAAAACAGATCAAGTGGGAAAACAAAACCCTAAATCTCAGACCGGAAAAAAAGGGGTTTAAAAGAGAATTACATGATGGGGACACTAGTGGAGATCTCAGGCCAGAATTGGTCAACCAAATTGTTGAGATAAGAGAGCGCATGAAGCTTTAAAGCAGGATGAGGCTCGTTGAGCATTGCTAGTAACCCTCCAGCCGAACTAACCATGGGTGTCGCCATTGATGAAGAACACTAAATCGAAATTGAAAAAACCCTAAGAGAAAGCAAATCAGATGACGAAAGATTCGAACTTTCGATGAGACCCGTCTTGAATCTCTCTACTGGGTTTGAAAGAGAGTGGTTTTTTGAGTTTATGGGACGAAAGTAAAAGTAAAGGAAGGAGATTTGGGAGAAGAAAGTAGTCAGGGACTTGGATGCAAACTACGAATATTTAGAGACTTACCCAACAAGTCAGGATATTAAAATCTGCCCCGAATGTATAGCTTTATTACGATTTATAGTCTCAAGTTTTGTGTTATTGTGTTATGGATCCAATATATTTTGAAGATTCACAATAAGTCCGTACTGCTTTTACAAAATTGGTTGGTCATACAATTTTAAGTTTAGGAGTTTCCAGACTATGCTAATTGCTAAATTATGAGATCATATCAATACAATGTGTTGCAATTCAGAACAAAATACAAAACCTTACAAAGCTTTAAAAGAAAAGCTTTAAACATTTTATATACTAATATAAATTTGTAACATTTTATATAAGCTTTAGAAAAGAAATTGTCCCTAATAAATAAGGTCAGTTGGTATGAAGCAGCTCTAATTTATTTTTCTCTTGTAGTTGTATCTATCTACTAATATTTTTTTTTTTTTTTTTACCATAATAGAATTTATTGCACATCATTCACCTACCGATCTTGAATGAAAAAGGCAGAAGAATTAGAGCACAACCGCAACATTTGCACTGCCCACCTACCCCATCCACCCAACCGGATATAGCAACTACTACCAAACCAATGAACCTATCGGTTTAAAATTGATACATATGTTTCCAAAATCGGTCAGATGTACCAAAAAGCTAAAACAAATGCAGTAGATCAGCGATTAGATACACACTATGTAAGAACAAATTCACAATCAATTTTCACTAAACCGGTTTTCACACCTACCCAAACTTATAAATCGATTCTTGTGTGAACAAACCAAACTAAACCGGAATTCCAACGGATTCGTCAAATTGGTCTCAACTCAACAACTCTCTCTCGCTCTTGTATAAAGTTTTTAGCTTTAAATCTCAGAGTCAGGTTTTGGTGGGTTAATTCTGGTAGACAAGAATCAAACAATGGGAGAAGAAGCAAAGATCTTCACTCTTTCAGAAGTTTCAGAGCATAATCAAGCTCATGACTGTTGGATTGTCATCAATGGAAAGGTTCTTTCTTCTTTTCTCTTTATTCTCACCTATAAAATTAGAGATCCCGTGCTTAAAATTCCCCCCTTTTTGATGTTTGCATGAGTTTAAGCTTTTGAAGTCTCAGATTTCTAAGTCTGAAATTATCAGATCAAATCTTTAGATGGGTAGAGAGTCGCAAAATGGTGTAGTTATTAAACATATGCTAAAGATTTAGCTCTTTTGATCTATTTATCAAGTGAAAATTTTCTTATTTTTGAATTGAAGATGGAGAAATGTAGAAATAGTTCTTCTTACTTTTAGAGTTATACCAAAGAAATATGTTTGATTTCTTCTACATTGACCTCTCTTGGGATGGATTACTGACTCGTGTTGATCACTTGTTTGCCCTGAAGATCGATCATTTTCGGTTGTGATTAACTTGTGAAGGAATCTGTAGATACATTTTTGAGCCTCCCTTCATAGTGAAAACTTGTATCATGTTTTCTTCATTGGTTGGTTTGTCACAAGAAAGTTTGAAACTTTAAACCTTTCGGTGTGTTTGTTACTTGAGTAGCTTCTGTTTCTGTTCATTCTGCCATTCGTGTGGGGGTTTTCGCAGTTTACTGGTCAGTGTCAAGTTCAGAAAACCCCAAATATATCTCTGAACATGGTTGCTGGTGGAGTATTTTGTTTCAAGTACCCATCTTTCTGTTACTTTTCGATTTATATGCACATAAACACATCGCGACCACCATATCTTGTTTTACTCGAAAGGGAGCAAGAACCTTAAGAACTTTTCTTTCTGTTGCTCCACTGCTTCTTTACTTACATTTGAATCATAGGCCTTACAAGTGGATTCACCCATGTTTTAAACTTCTTGGTTTGACAAGAAATCTTCAAAGTTCAGAAATTCTATAACTTGGTTTCATTTTTGCCTTTCCTAACTTCAGACATTTGCAAAATGCAGGTGTACAATGTGACCAAGTTTCTTGAAGACCATCCAGGTGGGGATGATGTTCTCTTGTCTTCAACAGGTCTGTCTAAACCCAACTATCAACATGCTCTCCCGGCTTTGATGCTTAAAAGACAAATTCAGTTAGTGGATATCAATCCATCGGTTTTTGATCCTTCTTCTCTTTTCAGGTAAGGATGCAACGGATGATTTTGAAGACGTGGGTCACAGTGAGAGTGCAAGAGAAATGATGGAGCAATACTACGTAGGAGAGATTGATCCAACAACAATACCAAAGAAAGTCAAATACACACCTCCTAAACAGCCTCACTACAATCAAGACAAGACCTCTGAGTTCATAATCAAGATCCTCCAGTTCCTTGTACCTCTTGCCATACTCGGTTTAGCAGTCGGCATTCGCATTTACACCAAATCAGGGTAGGCTTCTTCTTTTTTTCTGAGCATTACTACCATATATCTTATATATAGAGAGAAAGATTTAAGTCTTTTGAAAAGACAAATCTCAAAGTCTCTCCCTTTGTTCGTCTCTGTTCCCATATTTTGTTGTTTGAATGTGTTTTGGACAATTTCTTATCTATTGTGGTGTAACTGCATATGAACAACAGTCTTGTTGGTGGTTTTGCCTTGAGCAACTAATGACATCACAGTTGACTAATAATAAGTGATCTGTTTTGAAAGTTTGGTTTAGTATTGTTTGAGATCATACAATCTTTTCTTTTCTTGTAATGATGAATCTTTGTAGAAGAATAGTAACCAAGAAACTATCAAGACAAGGCCATGATGGTACTAATTGAATGCTTTAAGAGAACACTCAATTAACTTTGCAAAAGAGGAGAAACAAAGACAACAGATTACGAATTCCAAAGAGAAAGAGACGTTTTTTTTTTTTTGGCAGTTACTTGATAGAGTGTGTGGCAGTTAGTGACTTGAGCTCACTAAAACATATCCCAACATGAAGAATCCAAAAACTCTTCTGCAACTGTAGGACCCTCTTTTTGTACCTCTTTACCGCTTTGGCCGCAAGAAGTCGCAACCGCAGACACAAAGTTCGATACTTTGTAACTTTGAGAGCAATAAGTTTCATTTAAGCAAAGATTGGAATGGATTCTGTGGCAAGTTGACTACTATGGACTGTTTCAAAACGATGTCGTGCGTAGACTCAAATCAATACAATCAGAAAACGAATCTTGTGCCAAGCAAAGACGCGACGAAGTTTTGATGATTGATCAAAAGACGATCACCATAATGATGATGATGATGATATGTAGTGGGCACAAATCACAAAGTGGAAAGTACAATGGACTCACACAAGAGCAAGAGAAAGAGAATCTTTTTCTAACACTTTTGATTTTAGTGAGAAGACAGAGACAAAACAAAGACCACTATGAGACACTATCCATATCCATAATGAACAGCTTCTCTGTCTCTCTATTATAAGTATACATTTGTGTATATATAGATATGTATTACCTACCTGTCATTGTGATGTTATATGTCTGAAGAACACAACACATGGACCATCATGATGATGATGATGATAAGAACAAGAACTTAAGATGAAGTAAGAGAACAAAAGAGAGAAGGATAAGTCTTTATTGCAAAGAGTTTGAGATCAGTACATGTATACACATAAAAGGATAGATTTTAAAATGGTTACAGGACAAAGAGTTATAAGAGAATGCAGAGTCCCCCCTGTACCGGATTTTATAATAGAAAACACTGACCATTAAACCGAAAGAACTCTAAACCCTAAACGCTAAACCCTAAACAGACTTTGGGTTACTTCTAAAAACCTCCTCTTATGGCTTTAGTACTACTACTAAGGTGATCTGTTTAGGCTTAAAAAGGATTGGTATCAAGTTCTGTTACACAAACCCTTTTCAGCCACTTATAATACAGACACCAATTTAAAAACACTACATGGGTTTTTCTCCTAAGCTCTTTACATGTTGAAAAAGTTAAGAAAACGGATGATGGTAATAAGATCAAACCGATAATTAGCAGGAAAATGTTAATATATTCTGTATTAACTATTAACCCCCCATTTTTTTGTTGTTTCTAATCATCTACCTTCGTCCATTCAAACCGTCCTGGTAGTGGTTGTTCGTTCACAGGATCAAAGTTGTACCTGAAAAAAGAGTTGATAGAAACCATTAGAGACGCACAAAACCAAAAGAGTTTACTTACTGCAGAACAGAACAGAACAGATCAAAGTGGAAACTCATAAGCAAAAGGCATAGTTACTGCAGAACAGAACAGATCAAATGATAGAAACTCATACTTCTCAATGAAATGTTTCTGTTGTTCTTCTTCAGCACCCGAGAAAAACTCGTCCATTTCAGGTGTAGTTGGTAGGCGACGATGGCTGCGAGACAAACTCTCTTCTCTCTGGTTGCTTTCACTTACACAAATGTTAAGCTTTGTAGACGATCCCGGGGTTGTGATGATTTCAGGCCTTCTTATCAAACTGCATGGTGTGGATTCCCTTGTGGTCCTATTGAAGCAGAGAGTAAGTAATATGTTACCTTCATTTCATAATGATCTCAAGGATAAAAGCACATAACTATGTTTCCTTAATTAGTAGCAAAAGCAAGCAAACTTTATAGCATATAATTAACTAAAGCTGATTCAGTCATGTTTAACTGAAAAAGGACAAGGAGAAACTTCTAGTTGATTTGTGGTTCAAAGATCACAAAGCATAAATCCAAAGAAGAAACTTCCAATGAATATTGCATCAGCATTAGCAATGCTTGAAAAGTTGATGATTCACATTAAATTCAACAAGATCTCGACTTTAGATTGAAATCTTAAGATGAAAAACAACCAAACAGCAAGAAAATCTAAAAGACAGAGAAACTAAGCATTTCTATAACCAAACACAAACAACTTAAGAATGCATTATATACTTTGCACAATCCCAGAAACTAACCAAGTATAACGCTTTAAAGAGTTAGTTACAGAGACATTTCATACACAAATCCAACATTTTTTACATGAAAGCAGATAAAAAGTCTGAAGAAAAAACAATAGTCACTACCACCTTCTTCAAAGTAATTGAAGAAGAAGAGGAAAATAAAAAAAAACTTTCGCAAGAAAAAAGAAACACATTTTGGATTAATAAATATATTTTCTTTCCCAGAAACAGAGAGAAGAGTCTGGTGTTGTCAGATAAAGAAAAGATGGCATCATATCATACAGATGGTAAAAAAAAATCATTAAATAAATTTCAAATCGAAAAAAAAAACTAAAAATCGAAAACGCCAGTTTCAATTTTAACAAAATACCAGAAAAATTGATCCTTTTTCAAAATATCAACGGCAAAATTCAAATCCAAAACCAACATTTTCTCAAGAAACCCAACAAATATGAAATCCCAAAAAAAAAAAGGTTAAAAATTGGGGAATAAGGATAATAAAAATGATACCTTTGAGTGGGTTCATCTTCTTCAAGCTCGAAGAAATTTTGCCCAAAGGAAGGATCTTTGTTGATTTCACAAACCAATTCCTTATCTTTACCAAAGACAAGAGTCTCAGAAACCGAATCAGACCTAGACCCATCAGCACAAATCGAGCCACGAATCGAATCCAAATTAGAACTAGGGTTAGGGTTTCTCCCGCATGTCTCTTTCCTCCGTTTAGTAGAACGAATCACAACAATTGGAGGTTTCTTCTGAAGACGACGACTCCGTAGCTGAATATACGAACCACAATCGTTCATCTGCTGCTTCTTCTTATTCTTCTGTTTCGACGGTGGATTAGGAGAAGGAGAAGTCGGTGGTAACGACGAAGAAGAGGGCTTTTGAAGAAGACGGCGTTGTTGTTGTTGTTGTTGTTGGAGAGCTAGAGATTTAGCTCGAGTTAAAACACCAAGTGAAGAAGAAGAAGAAGAAGGTGAAACAACATCCATTAAAGCTATAGAGGATTCACCTCCACCTCCATCGATTTTGCTCTTTCTTATGTATTTCCCCATTTTCCGACGCTTTTCATCAGAGAGAAAGAAAGAGAGATTGGGAGGTGTGAAAGAAAAATCGGAGTTAGGGTTGAGAAGATTAGTGCTCTCTGTGGGGTCTCTCTCTTTTTTTATTTCTTCTTCTTTTTTTTTTTTTCTTTTTTTCTTATAAAAAATGTTTTATTATTTTTTCAGGTGGCTGCTTCTTCACTACTGTGAGTAATGTACACTGTACTTTTATTATTTTTTTTACTTAGTTATTTTTTTTTAATATTTAGAACTCGAGTGTAATAATTTCGATAGTTATAAATAGAAATGATGACGTATATTTTTATTTATTTTCCTCATTTATAAATTATATTTTTTTTGGTAAAAGAAAAAATTGAGTTAGTTGGGGCTCAAATATGAAATATGTGTCACAACGTTAGGAAAGAGTGAACGGTTACGCAACCTGAATAAATTCGAGGATCGTAATTGTTTTATTTTTGTGTATTTTACTTACGTAAGGGAAAAATGTTTTAAATCTAGTTGAAGTAGAGATTGGACGAATTTGGAATGTCAACTTCTACTTCTACTAGACCTACGAAGTTTGACAAAGTTATTAATTGTTTTCTGCGAATTGAGAGCATGGATAATGTTGCATAAGATACTACTAGCCTTTGTATTCATACCAAATTAATGAGTTTAAATGAATATAAGACTTTTGAATTAGGCCAGTAATTAATGAGTTTAAAATGACTCCTAGATTAGATTTATAAAAGGAGTTGGATGATTATCAAAGTTTAAGCAGTTTTGAGAATATGAAAGGAGTAGGATTATTTTATATCTTATAGTAGTAATATTGTATAAAGTTTGAGTAGGTATTATTGATTGAAAGATAAATTAAATTAATGTTTCATTCAACCACTCAACTGTTACAAAACGTAAAAACAAATAAGTTCATGTTTTAGAAAAAGTACATTTATTTTAGTTCCTTTTAGTTCTTCAAGTTAGACATGTTTGTAAATTGTAAACCAACACAAACGTAACCGTGCTTTTCACTTCTCTTTATGTTTCACATTTCTACTATTTTAAAAATATATATATGTATATATTTATTATATAACATCGAGTTTTTAGTAAATGTATATCACAATATTTCAAAATGTTACAAGTTCAATGTGCATGTTTAGAGTTTTGTATTCATTATCTTAAACCAACTTAATGTATGTTAGTGTTAACTGTCATCATAAGATATTCGTAGAGAGACCTAAAAATAAGCGTCTGGTTGATCATAAGAAATTATTCAACAATTTAGTTGTTTTAGAGAAATTACTTAACACATCTCTCTATCACTCTAAACACTAGAGACCACAACAACAAAGGAAAGACAAACCCCAAAGAAGTAGGATCATAGAACAAAGATTGGAATTATCACAAAGTCCCTTTGCTTTTGACATAAACAAGCCCATTAAAAAGAACTAAAAAGAAAGAAAAAACCCAACTTATTGATGTAAACATTTTAAACAAAGAATTAGACTCAAAAAAAGTCCTGAGCTCTCTCTGCTATTTCCTCCTTTTTCTTTTCTTTTTAGAAGAACATATAAATAAATATTTCTACTTCCAAATCTTTACGGATTTGTCATGACTTGCAGACGCTACCATTCCTGTAGAAGGAGACTGAGCCAAGGCAGAGATCACACACTCGTGACCCGCTATCGTCATACATTTGTTCTCCTTTGTGTTCCACAGCTCTATTGACTGTCACAGATTCGTTTACCAAAGTTAAAACAACTGACAGACACATTCATCTCATAACACAAGTGAACATAGACCAGATATTGTTCGACACATCGGTTCTCAGATTGTAAATTTATTTGTTTGAGACATGGGGATATAGATTATACCTGGTAGCCACCGATGACCAAGAGATCGGGATAGCTAGGGTGGAAAACACAAGAGTGGAACTTGTTTCCACTGTTTTCAAGCTCGTGGACGCAACCTCCTGAACTCAGTGACCATAATTTTACAGCGTCTTCACTAACAGAAGCTACCAACTCTCCGTTTGGGCTCCAACAAACAGAATGTACATTTGAGGAATGTCCCTGCCAGATCAAAGTAAATAAAGCCATGAGACACCATTTTTTCTTTCGATGGATGGGTGTATGAGTATGATGAACACTTATGACATCTAAACATATGCCCAAATGCATCTAACAAGAAAATACACAGGACTTGGAAGATTCAAAGTATTAAAACTAGAAAACAAAGCTTTTAGTCTTTTATGTGGATTGACCCGGGGGATTCAAAAATATCAAAATATCATCTTCAGCTCTACCTTAAAAATGTGGACCCGTTTGTTATTATTTTCAATATCAAAAATTGACACAGTGTTTTCCGACGCTGCAGCTAAAAACTGTCCTGTTCTTGGCTGGAACCGTACTTGCGTGCTAGCCCCCTGCGCTTGGAAAATTCTAAGATTAGCAAACAGGTTTCAATTCCCAGAGAAACCATACAAAAGGTCAGGGGCTTGCCTTTACAGCACGAACGCAAGAAGCGTTTATGTCCCAAAAGCGAATATCATTGTTGCTATCACAAGAGCATAAAAGCTCGGTTTTCTTAGGATGAAAATCAATGGACATAACAGGTGCAGCATGACCAGAAATTGTTCGTAGGAAGTAACCAGGCTGCACAAATTGGTAGTAGTTAGTCAGAGCAGAACACGAAAAAATGGCAGCAAAATAAAAGAGACACAAATTAGTATACATCAGAAGCATCCCAGATTTTGATCGTTTTGTCAAATGATGACGTTGCCAGTTGGGTTGAATTAGGTCTGAAGCGAACATCTGTGATGATATGAGCATGTTCTTCCGGAGTGCTCTCAACTTGTAGTGTTTCCATGTTCCATATAAAAACCTACTGACAAAAAGAAATTTGCATCCACATTATCTGTTTTTAAACAAACAAAAAACTACCTACCTATAAATGATCTATAGATGTTTTAGGGTCATGACAGGTTTATAAGCAAACCGTATCTCAGAAATTAAGAAGTTGCACCTTCTTATCATGTCCAGCGCTAGCCAACAACTTCCCATCAGATGAGAAGTTACAGCAAATGACCTTACTCGCACTTTTTCTTATAGAACTAACCTCATTGAAACTGAAACCTGAAACGAGAAAAAGGACTGTGTTAGTATATATCGTCTACTAGTAGCATGTTTATCCTTGGGGGTATTAGAATACCCTTTGAGGTTTCGGTATGCTCAGAAGCGTGCCGCTTTAGGGTGCCAAACAAGCTTCCTCCATCTCCATCATCTTGGGACAAAAATGATTCTACATTGTCTTCTAGGGCTCCCACATCTCCAAACCGTTCCATGTCATCCTGCAGCTATTAATTCTTGTCATAAGAAAGCTGAAAGAAACGCGGCCCCATGGGATATGAAAAAAATACTAAAGCTGCTAAGAAAGCACTTCCTTTCACAGAACACAACTGCATGCTGTATCCAGATGTTATTGGACGAAAACTAGATTGGCGTTATCATTCTTCTGAGAAATTAAGAAACATACCAGTTGATTTGCTGATGATGCAAGACCACCGATCCCATCAGAACCATACATCATTGGTCCTTTTGGCATGCTATTCACATGGTGCATGTTACCAGGTATAGCAACTCCATCAACAGGGGTATGCGTTGATGGAGTCGATGGCTGTGAGTTGGATGGGCCAACAGTGTTTCCCGTCCCTGTACTGTTAGCAGGACCAGAAGAGGAAGGCCCTTTTCTTTTGCGGTTGTTCTATCAAAGACACGAAAAGGAAGTTGTGGCTCAATCGACACTAAAGAATATATTAAGTTAGTTCAAACCACATGATCGATAAGACTTGTGGGATTGGATCCACATAAAAGTACCTGTTGTGATTGCTGAGATAGTAAGTTATCTTGTTGCTGAGAAGAAGATTGCTGTACTGGCGGCATGCTGATATGCTATAGACCAACAAGCAACGGAAAAAGAGAAAATCAGAGGAAAAAAATGTGATTGACAAAATTTTAGCAGTAAAGTCCCCACGTTTAGCAGTAATCAGCAATTACTTGCAGATAAGTTTTCTCGATTATTGGGAGCATGTGGTTAACAAGAAGAAACAAAAATGTGATCCCTATGTAGATCTATATTAGGATAACACAAACACATTACCTTACAGATTTTTCAAAGGAAAAGTATAGCAGTCGCACGATAACCCAAAAAAGTAACAATTTAAAGCATATCATAGACGAGTAATTATCAGGAAAAATGCATACAAGGACAAACGTAATGATCTAATTACACCACCTAACAGAACACAGAAAAAATGAGATGCTTAATGTGGAAAGTTGTCTCTGCTACCCGAAAAAAGATGCATTCAATAGGGATAGGCATTTTTTGGTAATTTGAGAAAAAGCCTTACCTTTGACGAACTTGACTGCATTGGGGATCCTATAGATCCATCATTTGCATTTTGTTGGCCATCTTTCGGATTAAGGTTTCCTCTAGGTAATCCTGTAAATCTTCGAGGGTCCATGTCACCACCATACATGGGTGAATTAGTCATATTTCCTTGCGCTTGAACCTGAGCCAAGATCTGTTGTTGGTGGTGCTGCGGCGAGAGCTGAAATTGACTTTGATTTTGTAGAAAAGATTTCTGAACCTGAGGGCCTCCTAAACCTGGTCGGATTTGCTCAATGCCCTGTAACATTTGTCAAGAAACTTAGCAAAAAACTGGGCTTAGAATGACAAACAAATAAATTCTGAGAAGAATCACAGAGACTTACAGTTAATGGCCATCCCTTTAGAGGAAGACCACTCACTCCAGGGTTTAATCCTTCACAAGCAACACCATAAGAATTGATATAAATTGTAAACAAAAGGTTCTCGTGAGGCCATTAGCATATCACCATGATTTTTCACATAACAAGAAAGTAATATGTTAATTTTGTAGGCCGTAGTCAACTAATTGCCATTGAAGGCATGCTACCAGGTATTTACCACCATTTTCTTTTTGGTGAGCGTTTAATCTAGAATGCATTAAATTGGATATATTTACCTGCACTCCCCATCCCAGGCTTTGATTGCAGAATTCCCTGGCCATAAACTGTAGAAGGATCCACTGGC